GTACATGTCCTCTTGAATATCATCATATTATTCTGTTATTTCTCCACTTAAACTTTTTGTACTTTTTCATTCTACTTTTTACTGTGAATTCAACCCTTCTTTCAAGTGTGAGTTCTCTGTCATCATCTCTTCACATTCAGCCTTGCTTTCAACGTGCTCCTGCACAGCTTAAATTTCTATCTTTTGCTACCATTCAAGCCTTAGTCCATGGTCTATTTCTTTCTTTCACTATAAAAGCTGTCTTTTCTCCCGGTCTCCTTCCCTCTTCCTAACCCTTTTCACAACATTCTTTCTCTCCCAAAGATCCAGTTACCTCCTGTGGCTCTTTGAAGCCTCCATGGGTATCTTGTCTAATAAAATGTCCCATTCAAGGACCTTGTTCTCATCTACAAGACATTTCCTTATCTTATGACTACTGAAGGCTTTTTCCTGCCTTTTCACTCTTTTTGCTTCATCTGAAGCTATTGCTTGAGGTAAAGTACACATGCTGTGACTTCTTGCTGTCATGCATCTCATCCTCTCATGTCCTTCTGTGCTTTCTTTGTCTCTTATTGCCTCTATGTTTATCTCTTGGAGCCTTTGTTACTGATAAGTAGTCCTCCTTTTCTCACCTTTCTCCTCTTCCTCCTTCAAAACTCCCTTTTTCTCTCTCACCTTTGCAGTTTCTTTATATAAAGCTATATAAGATATAGCTTATCTTTTATATTATCTCCTTCACAGCCTTACGAACCTCTTGGATTTAGCTCTCTTAAGCACAGAATATTATTTTTCTTTATTCTTAAATGACTGCTTTTCTATTCTGCATCCATGGTTCTGAGTAACAATAACTGCCTCCACAAATTAAACTTCTTTCAGGGCTCTGCGTCACTATCTGCTGTAATGTCTGTGTATGCAGTATTGGTGGCAGCTGAAAAATGGACGTTATGTTTCATTCCAGAGGAAGCTGCAGTCTTGTGGTGGGTCATAAGGTTTGTATACAGTGAGGTTATGAAGTGGTCTAGATCTTTTAGGATGAATCTGCTAGAGAAACAAACAAACAAACAAGCTCTAATATGAGCAGAAGGCTCATCAGTCTGATGTCTGATAATTTTGTGGGCAGGGCACAGGGAACAACATTAAGCTTGTCACTGTTGATTAATAGCACTGGGATTTCAGGTGATAAATCTCCTGGGGCAGGACCATGAGAAAAGTGTGAGTCTTCAATGACCCCTCCCCCTATACTCTCAGAGTTTTCACTATAAAGGCAGTAGTATGGGAAGACTAGGAATTATATTTTTGCATCCTGAAAACCAATCAGGAGAAAAAAATAAAGTCAGAGAAAGGGAGACCTGAGAGAAAACTGGGAAGAGGAGAGAGAAAGATAGATGGCTGACTGGAGAAAAGACCCATCTTGGGTGAGAGTTCTTCTAACTTCTATTCCTTTCTTTTTCCTCACCTAAGACCCTAATTTGGGCTGCAGCTGTAGTTTCATCTGTCATGAAGACATCCTCCTTGAAGGAAATACCACAAAAGCAAACTTTGGAGTCCTTCTAGGACCTGTAATATGCAAAGAACCTGGCGTGTGAGCAGGTTGTATACCCTTCCTCTTGTGTGCTGTGGGGCAATCTAGGCACTTTTGTGAGCCCTTTCAGGAGTCAAGCCTGTGTACAGGTCATCTGTGTTTGTGACTACTGTAAGATTATTATTACATCTTCCTCTTTCTTAAAATCTTAGTCCTTTTCTGTGCTGATCTCCTGAGACTGTTGGTAACCTCTCAAGCAACAGCAGTACTAATTGCTGTGTCCTGGTAGAAGGGCAGAACTAGGCCTTGGTAGTAGAAAGCAGGACAGATGAGCAGAAAAGAAAATACGTAAAGAACTGTGGCAGGAAATTACACAAAAAGTGATAAGGGATATTGGACAGCGGTTGCTGGGTGAGCGCAGTAGCTGGGCAGAGTGCTCAGTATTCTGTAATTTGGGATTCTGATGATCTGAAAACATGGACAAGACAATGGGTAGAGCTGGAACAATACCTTTCATTAGGTCAGCTGTGCCACTGGAAAAAGTGGGCAAGCTGTTGGGCCCACAAGTTCTTTGAGTCTGAAATAGAAGCAGCAGATCTCAAAGCAAATACAAGTTGAGAGTAGCTGTTTTGAATTTAACTATAGTGTCAGTAAGGCTGTGACAAAATATTACAGCTGCCTTCTGGAATAGAAAAAATGTTAATGGTGCTCAGAGAGCTGACAAAGTACTTTCCTCCTAGGGGAAAGAGGGAGAGGGGAGTGGAGCATGATAAGATTAGTGTTCAGGACACAGGAAATAATGTGACATAAATCCAGTATCTGTACAGATGGCATATATTTTGTCATGCATGGGAATGGTGAATTTCAGTTCTCAGTCTCTTCCTTGTTAGACAGTATCTGGGTACAGAGATGAGAGGTAGAGAGATCATTTGATGAGTTGTTCTCTCCCACTGGGAATTAGATAAATGCTAGGTCCTTAGCTGCAGATGTCCTTAGAGCTAGGTCCTAAGAGTGCACACATGTACCACTGTGTGCACAATGACTGTTCAGTTTCATCTATATATTTATCAGCCTACCATCTGGTGCACTGGATGAGGTATATTACACTGTGAAAAGTACAAATGAGGGCACAGAGTTTTTGTGGGTTGTCTTCCTCATAAGGATAGGAAAGGTTTCTTGTTTGAGTAGCATCTAGAGCTATTTGGTGAATGCTGGCCTTGGTGTCCTTCATGCTTTTGTTGATGAGGTGAGTGAGGCTGAAGCCAGTTTGGAGGCTGAGAGGGACAGTTCTTGGAAAAAACTTTGTAGTATAGGATCATCTTATTTTAGGCTATAATTACATAATTATTTTCCATGGAAATTCTACAACAGTATCATACAAGACAGACAGTAGAGCTTGATTAGCTGGCAGTAGGGGGTTCTTTTTATACTGAAGAAATTTCTGATGTGCTATTCTTGTGCCTTTTGAAAAACAAGAACTAGAAAAGTGCACCTTGTTCCTATTAGTTTACTCCAATGGCTGTGATGAGTGTTCTCCTCCAGTAAACGTAATAGTAACTAAAGATCTGGTGCTGTAGTACATGATGTTTGCTGGGGCTTATTGGTCTTTAGGTTTTCTACATATGTTCAACATTTATATTCTATAGAGCTTTTTATATTTTATACACTATATAGTATATGCTATACATAATTTTTTATGTAAGCCATTGTGACATTGGTCTTCCAAAGAATCTCAATAGGTTGGGAGCAGTTAATGCCTTTATGATTGAAATCTATAAGGATACCCAAATGTTCTCTGATTTCCTAGAAACAGTGACTTAGAATGTCTTCTTTAAGGTGGTTCATTTAAGGTTTGTCCTAGTGATAGGCCACAGTCTTCTTCCAGGAAACATTGCTTATTGAAAGTAAAGTGAGTGATGGTGAGAATGAAACTATATGACTATATGTTTTGAAGCAGTACTGATACTGCTTTTGTAAATATTCAGAGCTTGCCTGGCCTGCCACCAGGTGTGCGTTGCACAGACTAAAATATCCATATGGATTTTATTGCTAATGGATATTGTTAGCAGAAACATTGGAGGAGGTGGGGAGGTGGTTTATGGAGGAAATCAAGTGTGTCTTCCTCTTGGAGACTTTCTTTGCACCCCACTCTCAAGGACCATGCAGACTGAAAAAAAGCACAGTGAGCCTACAGGAGAAATGTTTTACAGAGGTCTGCAAATTGAAATAATGAGACTACTGTTCTGACCCAAAAGAAGGGTGTTTTGCTTCTCTCTGTCCCTCATCCTGCCTGCAAAACTCTGATCCTGCTGTGGGAGAAGCTTGGATACCATTATTCTGGAGAAGTGATTGTGTACAAGAGGAGAATGAAGGAGTTAATGGGAGCTCTTTAGTGACTGTGAGTCATGAAGAGTCTTCTTTTCTTGTACACAATTTCTAGGATCTTGAACTCACTGTTCTTCATTGATTAATAGCCATCAAAAGACATGGTTACAAGCAGCACACTGACAGTACTGGGAGGTGTCTCCAGACCATGTTGCTGGAACATGCTTCTCATTTCTGTTACTGTTTGGTAGCTCATTGGTGTTGGCTGAACTCATTGCTTTTTTTGCCTGGCTGAGAAACAAGTGGCAGAGTGGAGAGGAAAAGCTGCTGAATGCTATAGCCTGTGGAAAAATGAACATCAGGAAGAATAAAGTTCTGTATATACTTATAATTGAATACCCACAGAGAAGTTTGGTGACATTCTTCAGAAGTGTAAAGTGTTCTTCATAAGGGCACATGGAAAGGCTGTAAATGCTCAGCAGTTTACAGGGATGCCTGACTTCTCTGTTGGGGCTTGCTCTTTCTCTTGTGGACCATGGACTTAGAAAAATTGTGTTGGGACACTGAGTGTGCACCCACCTTTTTCTATCTCACCACAGTTGCTGGCATCTTTATGATTGTCACTCAGTCCTATGGACACCTGGTATCTGGGAAGACAAAGAGGAAGTCCACTGAATTTTGTTCTCATTGTGAATGTGGCTTGCTCAGGATGGGGAGGTATGAAAGAAAAGATCTCCTGGATAACCATTTCTGCTTCCTCCGGTCTGTTTCTTGTCTCTGTCCTTCTAGCTCGCTCTGTCTTACCACTTTCTTTCCTCCCTTCCCCCCTTCCCCTTCTCTCTCCTTCAGGAGTTCCCCTCTTGCCCACACCTGATATTCAATCCCATCAGAGTCAGTGCCTTTTGCTGAGATCAGACACAGCACTGGAGAATCATGTGGCAGAGGAAGGTTGCTATAAATATAGTTAAACCCTGCAATCACTGCCTTTGGGCAGGGAGGGGGGAAAGTGAGAGAGGCACAAGGAGGAGGAGGGGCAGAGAGAAAGTGAGGCAGGAACAGGACAAGTCAGAGTGGTCTGAGGAGAGAAAGAAAGGAAGAAGGGAGCAGAAGAAAGCTCGGAGGCCATGCTCTTGGCCAGAACATGAGGTGGTTCTAGGTAAGGCCCAGAGCAGCAGCTCCATTACAACCAAGCTTGTGGAAGAGTAGAGGCATGGAGAGCTCAGAGACCATGACGCAGGACCCCAGATCGAAGTCAGCTTTGGGGGGGGGCACACCGCAATACGACTATGTCTGCTTTGAGAAATGCACCCGTTACGGGATACCTTTGGAGGCAGGACGCGAGGCCGGGGGGACAGGGGACGACCTGCACTACCTGGAGAACTCCCTCAGCTACCCACAGGTAGGGCTGGACAACTGGGATGTTTGTGGCAGCACAGGTTTTCCTGGGATCACACAGTCTCTTGGGGCTCCCAGAACAGTACTGGTAGAGCACACATCCCTGTCCATTACAATCCTACCAACTCTCCCCTTCGCTTGCTGACTCCCAGGTCAGGCATTGACTTTCATGGTTGTACTTACATCAGCATTTCCTGTCAGGGGTCATTTTCACCTGCCATGGACACAAAGAGAGTTAGAATGGGCAAGCTGGGAATGGGAAAATCAGCCAGACCATTAATGTATTTCTAACAGCAGAGAGAAACTGCAGCTACCTTCAGCTACACAGTGATATTAAGTAGAGCAGAAGAAGGAATAAAACCAAAGAGAGCAGTGATGTATATAGATGGGTATCTATCTGCACAGTTGGAAAGTCATGCAGAGCTCTGTTCTGACTTTTCTCTGACCAAAAAGCAATTCATAGTCATAGATTCATACATGTATATTGATAGTTTTGGTAGCTTTAGGGGAGCTGTGAGAGATTTTCTAGCCCTTAAATTTGACCAGACACTTGCTCTGGTTCATACAAGCAGCAGTTCAGAAAAATATCTGGGACATAGATGTGCTCTGGTTGTGTCTTCTTGTTCCATTACCCTCTGTATCCCCTCTACCTCTCCTTTTGGGGCAGCTTCCTGCAAAAGGAAGGTTTTACAAGAAAGTCCTGGTCTCTTATTTCCTACCACTTTGCTCAGACTAAGCTGACGTGAGAGGGCTTTAGAGAAATGAAGGATCCAGTCAAGTCAAATGATGAGGGAGAGAGGGTGTGAATGTGAAATTCATACAGAAATGGATGTTTCTCCTTACATGAATTAAAATCCCTTTACATGAACACTTAGGTGAATGATAGGGGGATGAGGGAGGGAATGCATTCATCATCTCCTGAAAACTTTTGTGATTTGCTGATAGGGAAAAAGTTACATTTGCCAGCAATAAAATATCTTCCAGTAGATAAGCATCCCAGTAAGATTATATGTGCTACATGGCAAAAGATTACAGAGTCAGTTCCATGGCCACGTTCAGGAATTTCTCTTCCAAAATTGTCTAAAACATCTGAGAGTTTGCAAATGTCTCCTACACTAAACCCTTCCAAAACCACTCCCTGGCTGATTTGGAAGCAGCAGCAAAAATGGGAAGGTGTCTGGCCAGAGGTCTGACTCGAACAGTTTATGTGTTATTTACACTAACACAAGGCAATGGTTTGGCTGCAGCAGCCACACTAACAGTGTGAGTGTGGGGCGGGATGGGATGGAGGGGTGTGTACACCCATGCAGCTGGAGCTGAGCTCCACTGGGATTCAGCCTTCGCATCCCCACCTATTGCTGCACAGGGCCTGAGGCAGGGGCAGGTGGTGGGAAGGAGATGTGGGGTGTGAGTGGAGCAATGCCTAGTGCTGGAGAGCTGAGGTGGGAGAAGGAAATGCACCTCGAATTACATGAACTGTTACTAAGTTGGGGGCGGGGGGGTGGGGGGGTATAGTTGTGGGATACAAACTGTTTCTCCAATTAAGAACATCCAAGCACAAAACCATCCCGGTTCACATGCATCGACCTGGTATGCTGGTCTCACACCTCTAAAGCCACTCTCACAGCACCTGGTGACACAGTGAGGCAATACAACCCACCTCTGTGCTCATGCTATCTGGCACTTGATCTGATCTGATCTAGCTCCAGAGGCACACTGGTCAGTGCATGTAGACAGCCTCACGCACAAGCAAGCTTATCACCAAATGCATTCCCATGTGCTTCTTCAGGCAGTAATGTCCCCAGGCAAACCTGCATTTGTGAACACAAATTGCAATCTAAAAAGCAGACAGCCCTATTTATAGATTTACTAGAAAATAAGCTCTAGAAATTCTTTTACATAATCAAGTACACATGTGGATGTACATTTATGTACAAAACTCTGTATGCAGACATACTCTGGCAAAACCAGGCTTGCTGTGCATATGTGTATTTTGCTAGCCATTCATGCACATGCAGATAAAGTATAAATATGCGTGTGAAAGTACACCTTGTACAAACATGCAGACTTACATTATTAACATGAAAAACATCCTGCTGAACATGTTTTCATCCATTTCTGTGCAGAGTAACCATCAAGATTTCTTTCCCCACTGGCATGTGAAAAAAGGGTTGGCGAGAGAGATTTTGATTCTGTTGTGCCCTTTTCTTTTGCTAACTGTTGCCTTCTGTTTTATATGTAGTTTGTAAGCTATTTCAGACTGGCTCAGTGATTTGATTGGGTTTACACAGGCCACAGAACAGTGAAATCTTGGTCTTTGGCCCGGAACCTTCAGATAAGCGATGGTCAAAATTCAAATAGTGGTTAATAGATAAAAAAATAATAATAGTAGTAGGATAATAATAGTAATATATATACAATTTTGGACAACTAAGATGACAGATATATGATAGATGATGTAATATACATTGATAAAAATACATTCTCACACACTGTAGGATTTTATATTGTTTTCTTTCTGCATAAGAAAGCAGCTACAGCTGGTGAAGTATTTAGAATCTGTGTTATTCGTGACTACAGAAAGAGTGTTCATGGCAGAGACCTCACTCAGCAATACACAGATGGGGTATAGGGGGGGAGAATGTGTAATAAGTAATTAGGCAATGCAGTAATACAGAATAACAGACTCACAGAAAGATGTAGGTGGGAGGGGTCTCTGAAGGTCTCTAGTCTAAGCCCCTATTCACAGCAGGGCTGACTCCAAAGCTAGGTCAGGTTGTTCAGGCAGTTGTCCACAAACGTTCTGAACATCTCCAAGACTGAAGTTTACTCAACTGCCCTGGGCACTTGTTCCTGTGTTGAACCACCCCCAAGAAGGGGTGGATGGCGACATGTTTTCTTTTTTCATAGACTTTCCTTTCTTGCAAATTATACCTTTTTCCTTTTGTCCTTCACTGTGCCTCTCCAAGAACTCTGATGTTTCTCTCCAACTCACCTCACCCTTAGGAGATCTCCTCACCCTTAGGAGATCTGTTAGATCTCCCATTTGCCTCCTGTTCTTCAGGAAGAACAGCTATTTTATTGCTGCCCCCACCCCTCACATGTGCCTCATTGGGTCTATGTCCAAGCAGTTGAGCCTAGACTTTTTACTGACATTTAAATTTACTTACAAAGTGAGTTTTGAAAGGTTTCCCCTTTGAGACCAAATATGGCAACTCTTTTGTGATCCATCAGGAAAACAAACAAACAAACAAACAAACAAACAAACAAGGATAATTTCAGGAACAGCAGGATGGCTGCAAGGTGGGAGAGGGATGAGCAGTCGAGCTCAATACTTCCTCAACGGCCAGGAGCAGCAGACTGAAAGTCTGCACTGACAGTGCTGGGGGAAGGGATTTCAGGACTGGACTATGCTGTGGAGAACATTGTTCAATCTGAATGGCATGAGAAATAGCTTAGACTTTGGCCGTAAGGAGAGGGCAGTTTTATGCAGGTACTGAGCTCTCAGAAAATAGCTCCCAGAAGAATCTTGAGATTGTGGTGCTGTGCATACTTTTTCCCCTGAGATTCTGTGCAGTGTTTCCCCCATTACTCAAGCAATGAAATGTCCCCATCTTTTTGAAAAGACAAACCCTGCTGGTTTACATTTAATATTATTAAATGCTTCCTCCCTCAAAATGAACTTTACTCTGTTGCACTTTCTCCCTGGATGCTTTTGGGATTCCCCCACCCCACCCCTTTAGTGGTTCAGCTAGTTTTGCACCGTTATTATGGTGTCACTTGGCATTTAGCTAAGCTAGGCATGGTAGTACCTTTTCTGGATCAAACTTTTAAGTGGTAATTGATAAATTTTAAAATTCACTCCAGTTTTTCTGTTGCTCAGAAACCTTGTGTTAGCGAGGGAGCATCAGAAGAAGGAACAGTCTAAGTCCTACTGTGCTATATTTTTAGTTTTACGTGTCTTCTAATAGAGTGGATATTTATTGCCTAACCTAATTTTGTTTTAAGGTCATCCTCCAATTTCCAGATTCTTTGTCTATCCCAAAATCTCCTATCATTTTAAATAGGGCCAAAGTCCTGGAGAAGCAAAGCACATGTGTGAAGCATTAAGTGAATTGAGACTAACTTGTTCTCCAAGACAGAACGTTCATTTTTGTTTCTGGAAACTAACTCATTTTTTCCCAGCATTTTCCAGCCAGATAGAAACAGTCAACTAGGATACCGTATGAGGATTTTAACCAGTCATACTATTATACTGCCATGCTGTTCCATGTGGGCAGATGAAAGATTCTAATTTGAAGATCATACTTGGCATGGGTTTGAGTTCATAGTTTGGATTAATATGTATTTGATATAAACCGACCCCTCATGACCATGTAAAGGCAATGAAACATTAGCTGAGGTGATGTGAAGATGCATTTGTCTAAAATCTGATAGTACTTGGCATTTCTGGCCAAAATAGTAAGAGAACAAAAGCAGCAGTCTGCTGTTTAGGACTGGATTCTGTATGTCACAGCTTACCCTGTATATGAAGTTCTTCAACATGACGTTTCGCTGTCCTGTCTGTATTATGGGGCTCAGAGCATGGCCATGCCTCACTGCAAAGAGTATGCTTTGCTTAGTTTGCCTAGGGTGTGTTGATAATCATATGGTTAATAATTACCATTAAATTTGTCAGCTTCCAATACAGTAATGAAGGGAGGAATACTTTCAGATGTTCAATTTGTTTAAGAGACAGCAGATAAGCCACCCTCAGAACAGGATGATTTTAAAAAGCCTAGGTGTGTGTTCTGTTAAAAAACACTAGGGTTTTTGAAAGGAGCTATTTCACATGGTTCAAGTGTCTCTTGAGGAATATATGCAGATAAATAAACTACTTAGGATCTTTGGTCATATTTGTTATGTGGAAACATGAATTGGTAGAGCACTGAAACAGGTGCTGAGAATCGGGGGAATTTCAACCCTTGGAGATGTTTAGGAGTTGCTTGGAGAAGATCATGAGCAGCCTGATATGGCTTTGCAGTTCATGTGCTGTGAGCAGAGGCTTGGACTAGAAACCTCCAGAGGTGCCCTCCAGTGTAAATATTTCTTTGAGACTTTGAGTCTATTTGATCTCAAGGTAACAGCAGCAACATCTCCTGTGTCAGTCTGAAAGGAGGAGACATGAAATTGTCAAATAAAAATGTCTCTTAAGTGCATGGCACTGCTTATGTGTCTTGTAATTCTCCAGCTGAAAGTGTCTGGTTTTGCTGATCAAGGTATTTCTCCTGCTGATCAAGGTATTTCTCCTGCTGACACTCAGAAAATGTTAGAGAAGCAGATGTTGTGCTGGGCAGGATGCAAAGGGTCACCTTCTTGCAGGTTGGAAGTGCCATGCTTCAGGTGACAGCCTGACCTCAAGTAAAGCCAAAGCTGGTTCACTGAAGGAGATGTGAGGTGAAGAGACTTATTCTTTGCTTGTCAAATGCCCACCTTCCCCACCCATACTTTGAAAGAATGAGGTGAGATAGATGCTCTTCAGAGAATCTGATAAACAAACACAGGGACACAGTCAGGATCCTTCAAGCTCCCTTGAGACCTCGTTGTTGACAAGACAGCACAACTGCCAATTGCACTACAGATCTGTGTATGAAATGTCATTGGTAAATGCATGTAGATAGTTGTGAATTGCATGTAACCAATTGCATTTCAAGGTTAGTATCTGAAGACAAAGACTAGATTAAGTAGTTAGAAATTCAGAGAAACTGGAGATATGTGAGGATTTAGCATGATGATTTGGGTAAATAATGGGAGGACGTGTGCAGTGCCCTGTAATATTTCTGAGCTGATACTGCTTCTTTTCCTCTGCGGGCACCATCAGTGGCTGGGTGTCCTGTTAAGCATTCCTTGGCAGCAGGAGGAACAGATGCAGAACATTCCTGCAGCCTGTTTCATAGTGTAATACCTCTCAAAACCTTTAGAGAGTTTTACAGTGCTGCTGAAATCTGTGAGACAGCCCTGAGGGTGGCAGCCTGAATGTGAACTCTTTTGAGCTTCTTTTGTACCTTCAGAAAGCCTGCCCAATCTCTTCATACCACACCCAGCTCTTTCTCAGACTGTTTGAAAGCAATTAAATTTCTGTGATCATAACTTGTACTCCCAAAAAGGTGATGAAAAGATTTTGGAGAGATAATGAAGAGAGAACCAGAAAGGAAAAATAAAATAATTAAAATAAAATAAAATAAAATAAAATAAAATAAAATAAAAATAAATTTAAAAAAAAAAAAGATGAGCTGCATCTGTCTGAGAGATTCTGTGTCTGTCTCCCTGCTTGGGTACATTTGGGTCTGCACCTCGGACTTTTAGTAGATCTAGATACCTTTTCATCTTTAGTGCTATTTATGAAGGAGCACTTGCCTTGCCCTTGCCTTTTGATCTCTCTTGCGTTCTGCTCCTCTAGCTTTATGGCCAATACACAGACCAGATAACCGACTTTGCAGAGAAGGAAGCAGCAAAACTACTGAATAAGAAGCAGATCCAAAAGAACAATGAAAGACCCCTGAAACGTGAGAGTGAAGTAGAGATCAAAGAAGAGCAATATTCCAAATGTCAAGGTAGGGGCAATTAATCTTTCATTACTCTATAACCAGATATTGGGCAGGCCAGCCACAGAGATGGAATTTAAGCAAGGCCAAAAAGACAAGAAAATTGTGACTGGGGAGTAGCAGGGAAGGAAGGAAAAGGAATTACAGTGAATCAAAAAGTCTTTTTCATGTAAGATTTCATCATAGGAAAAGCTGAGATCTGTTTGGAAAAAAGACCACTCCCAAGTTAATAATTTATTCTACAACAGAACTCTGTAATAGGAGGAAAAAGACATGTCAAATTTTTGCTGCTAGTGCTTAAGATGTTGAATTCTGCCCCACTCCCCTCCACCTTTTTTTTTTTTTTTAAGCTCCATAAGATTTTGCAGGACTGTATAAGACAGGGATGGGTACCAGTCCTTCAACATGAAGCACATGATGCTTCCAAATAAATCCTTTTTGTAGTCAGCTCTCAGCATAGGAGAGGAGAGACAGACACAGGCTTCATCTATGTTCTCTCAATTTTTCTGGTTTGCTCTTCCCTCCACAGACTGTGCTAGACACATCCAAAAATATGTTACCAAGAAGCTTGGAGAAGACTGGATTTTCTTGATTCTGTTGGGTCTGGTCATGGCGTTGGTGAGCTGGGGAATGGACTATGCCAGTGCGAAGAGCCTACAGGGTGAGTCCCATTCAGGTGTTGCAAATGCACACTGTCGATGATACAAATGTTTTACAAAGCCCAGTGACCAATGTTCCTCCCTCTTTAATATCAGTGTCCCATTCTCACCCCTCCCTGCCCAGGAAGTCTGAAGTACTTGCAACATAATGGTAAAGAAAAGGTTAACTAGGGAGAGGTTCTTTAAAGAGATGGCAGGAAAAAACTTGGAAGCAAGCAGGCAGAAGCAAAGGATATGCTTATGATGAGTCAAACCATTATTTTGACTCCCTTTCCCTCCTACTCCCTTGAATATGTAGGGCACAGAGAAGTGGTACTGTGCTCCTTCCTATTATACTGGTTCCCATTGTCCCCAGAAATATTGAGTACATAGGGGATTGGGAGATGAAGGGGCTCTGAGATGCCCTCCTGACACTGTTTCTGCTTTTACCTCATTATTGTTCTTTCCAGTTTTTATTTATACAGTGCCCTGTAGTTTCCTGCTACCTGGCCACATAGTGCTCTCTCCTTTGGCTGGTTTTACACAGATCTCCTAACCACTGCCTTATATCCCTTCCCCACATTTTTCCTGTGGTCCCTCTCCCCTTTGTAATCTATAACAAGATATTTTAGTCCCCTTGACCTCATCTCAGTGCACACACATTGCCCCCATCCCATTATCATAAGTGCACTGTTTCTTTGTCCTTAACCTCAGTGTCCTAATCCTCATCTGCACATGTACACAAACACTTTCTTCTCAGCGCTCTTGGACGCTCATGTCCACCAGACACTGCAGTTCCTCAAAGCTCCCAATATTAGTTCAGCCCAGTGTTCCTCCCTCTAGAACTTCCCCATCTACCAGGCATCTGGTTTACCCTACCAGTTGCAGAGACCCTCTGTCCTTTACACCAAGTCCTTTGTGTTGTTTTTTTTTTCCTTTCCCTCCACCAAGTCTCAGCCTCCTGTTGTATGTGGATCCAGCTCAAGCAAAGAAGATGAACTGCACAGGAGCTGCAGTTCAGTTTGGATTCTTGGCAGCTCATGCTGTTGTACCTATCTGAACAACGGTATCACTGCTGTTTTAACAGTTGACATAGCTCCCTTCATGAAAATCAGCCTTTTAAGATAGTTTTTTATGAAGGAACAATTTTTAATGTGATTGAGATGGAGCAGAGAGCACTAGGTATTGGCGGACTACTTTACTGTCCTTCAGGACCTGCATAAGGCCCTCAGGCTGCCAAACAAAAGGATGCTGTGCAGTGATTCATCCTCACAACTGCATGTAACACACCTCTTACATCACATTTTGGCACAGGTATTAATAGTATTTCAGAACAGGGAGCCACTTCTATCCATTCCTGCAAAATGCCTGTTTTATTTGAGAACTCATACTCAAAATGTAACAAGACTTGTCTTAGAAAATGAGGACTTTTAGAATGGCATTTCTCAGGGGGATTTAGCATGGGCACGTTTAGCAAGTGTGTGATTCTTTGATGTATACCAACCTGTTTGCAGCTGCTGTGATTATTGACAACTTCTTTGTTTGTCTCCCTACAGCCTACAAGTGGATGTACAGAGTGCTGCACCCGAATGTTCCTATGCAGTATCTGGCGTGGGTCACGTATCCACTTGTTCTTATTCTGTTTGCGGCCATTTTCTGCCACCTCGTCTCTCCACAGGCTGTTGGTGAGGGCAGAAGGCATGGCAAGATCTGTTTCTGTCTCATTTTTCTTATTCCATTTGCCTGCAGGTTTTGTTCATCTCCTGCTCTGCTGTTGTTTTCAGGGTCTGGGATCCCAGAGCTCAAGACCATTATGAGAGGAGTGGTCCTCAAGGAGTATCTCACTCTCAAAGCTTTTTTGGCCAAAGTTGTGGGCCTCACAGCTGGGCTTGGAAGTGGCATGCCTGTGGGGAAAGAGGTAAATATTGCTGTTTTCATGTGCAGTAGTGGCCATGGTCTGGGAGGTTGTCTGTGGAAGAAGAGTCTGTAAATGTTTTCTTTCTTTTGCCACCATTACTCTTCTCAAAGTTCTGCTCCTTCCACCAATGCTTATCTTCCACTGTCCATTTTCCTTCCACTTTGAAAGGCTTGATATAGAAAACATCAGAGTACTCAAGTCAGGTAATCTTTGAGAGGAAAGAAAAAGGAAATTGGAGTACTGGCTGAGATGGTCAAAGAGAAATTATGAGATCTTCAATGGCTAAATGGTTGTCAGTAACCAGAGGGAAACCCTCTCTGATTTCCTCCTCCCCTTCTCTTGCAGGGTCCTTTTGTGCATATTGCCAGTATCTGTGCTGCAGTACTCAGCAAGTTCATGTCAATCTTCTGTGGTGTGTATGAGGTAAGGCACATGTCTCTGCATAGAGCTTTTCCACAGGCTGAACTCCTAAGACACATAGGATAGTATTGGTAGGCCACAAAATAGAGAGGAAACATATGGATTGTATTTCACTGTGCTGCTATAGAGCAGTAAAATACAAGCCAAAGTGCTAGTGGGAGGCCAGATATAAAGTTAAATAACTATGCAGGACCACCAATGTTACCTACCAATTACATAGAGGCTGGTTAGGAATATGCATTTGACATGTTTTCAACCTCAATATGCTTATAACTTGGCACTGTGATCATTCTCTATATAAAAAAGTAGCTGCAGACAACAATCACAGAATCATCTAGGTTGGAAAGGACCCTGGAGATCATCTAGTCCAACTGTTCGCCTAGCACAGTTCCCACCTACAGCATATCCTTAAGCTCCAAATCAACCCTACTCTTGAACACCTCCAGGGACGGGGACTCCACCACCTCCCTGGGCGGCCCATTCCAACGCCTAACAACCCGTTCTGCAAAGAAATGCTTCCTAATATCTAGCCTGAACTTTCCCTGGCGCAGCTTGAGGCCATTCCCTCTTGTCCTGTCACTTTCTACTAGGCTAAAGAGGCTCAAACCAGCTCTCTGCAGCTTCCTTTCAGGGAGTTGTAGAGGGTCATAAGGTCTCCCCTCAGCCTCCTCTTCTCCAGACTAAACAATCCCAGTTCCCTCAGCCGCTCCTCAGAGGACATGTGCTCCAGACCCTGCACCAGCTCCGTTGCCCTTCTCTGGACACGCTCGAGTCACTCAATGGCCTTTTTGTAGTGAGGGGCCCAAAACTGAACACAGTAATCAACGTGCGGCCTCACCAGCACCAAGTACAGGGGCAAGATCCCTTCCCTGTCCCTGCTGGCCACACTAATTGTGATACAAGCCAGGATGCCATTGGCCTTCTTGGCCACCTGGACACACTGCTGGCTCATGTTCAGCCAGATGTCAATCAACCACCCCCCCCCAGCAGCCTTTCCCTCATCCAATAAGCAGGTCGCTCTGTCATAGGAGGAGATCAGGTTTGTCAAGCAGGACCTGCCTTTCATAAACCCACACTGACTGGGCCTGAGCATCTGGTTGTCCTGCATGTGTTGCATGATGGTGTTTAGCATGAGCTACTCCATCAGCTTCCCGGGCACCGAAGTCAAGCTGACAGGTCTTTAAGCCAAATTTACACAGCATTGGTAATTACAGACACACTGTATCTAGCCTTTTGCTGTTGCAGCATAGCCTCTGCAGGCTGATCACTGTATTGACTAGCTGTATAAAAAAGATCTATTAACTTCATATAAAGATAAATGTAGGAGCTGCTTTACATACAGGTTTTTTATCAGAAACTGGCTGTGAAATACAACAATGGGAGGCGCTGTTCTAGTTGAATAGATCCTGAGTGTGCATAAGAACCAGTGTCACTGATGAAAACCAGCTGACAGTACTAAAGACCGCACTAAAGTGTGTAGAACTTGCTATTTTTAATAGCAGTGGCTGAATCTACTGCTGGCTGCTGCTTTGTTTCATTGTTCTGGATCCTAACCCCCTGGCTTTGCTTCCTCTAACCCCAGCATGCTCTTCTCTGGCTGCACTCTGTTCCAGAATGTGCATAGGCAGTTCGACTTCCTGGTGGCAGCTTGCGCAGTTGGAGTTGGATGTTGCTTCGGGGCTCCTCTTGGAGGCAAGTGTCTTCCTGTATATGACATTTAATGTACAGCTCATTTAGCCTCTGGCTGTGAGATTTCCTGGTCTCAGGAAAGGTTCTCTGCAGATGCCTCTCCACAGCAACATGAGTTCTTTCTTTTCATGTGTAACTAAAAGAAAGGGAAGGTTATAGGAAAAGTGACACCTATTAATGTGCTGATTTCCTTCACTGTGTAAAGTTTTGGGCTCGCCATATAAGAGAGGTGTGAAGGGCCAGTAAGATAGCTGGGAGGTTGAAGTAACAGTATATGAGGAGAAGCTGAAGAAGCTGGGTTTGCTCAGCCTAAAGGAGAAAAGGCTAAAGGGGGATGGTCTAACTGATGTCATCAACCACCTAAAGGGGGATTTTAGTCAAGACTGATCCAGGCTTTTTTCAGAGCAGCAGAGTGCAAGAGGCAATGGGCACAACTTGCAACAAAAGAAATTCTGACTGTGTATAAAAAAAAAAAGTTCCTCCACCAGGGGTGGTTCAGCACTGGCACAGATGTCTAGAGGATCCAGGGAATCTCTGTCTTTGGAAATGTTCAGGACTCACCTGGACAAGGACCCGATATAGCCTTGGAATTAGCCCAACTCTGAGCAGGCAGTTGGAGGAGAAACATCCAGTGGTCCCTTCCCACCTTTCTATGATCCTGCTGTAAGGAGAGATGTGGAAATTTACCTACCTCACCTCACATTTGCACTAGTCTTCTCAGTCCTGGAATTTCCTTAATCTGCATATGTGCAAGAGGCACGTGGGAACTTCTTCCTAAAACAGTGGAAATATATGCATAAATAGTTTGTCTTAAAATGTTCTCCATTCTTTCTTGTGCCTTCATTTCACTCTCCCCCCATGCACTGCACCAAACCTCTCTCTGCAGTTATTGTGCCCAGAAATTTAAGAAGTTTTTGAAATGTGATGCTTTTTCTAGGTTGTTTTTACTTCTTTCCGCACTATTTTCCTGTTAGTCTTCAAATGGATGAGTTAGCTGACAAAGAAACACAGTCTTGCATAAACAATAATAATGATATTTACTCTGGTTTGCTATTAAAAAAAAAAAAAAAAAAAAAAAAAAAAAAAAAAGAAAAAAGAGGAACATAGTTTGTCAGCTACAAATTAGAGGTTCCTCAGTTGACAACTTTAGAAAACATGTGCCAGGAAGAAAATGAGGTTCAGCAAGAGAGAGGCTGAGATCTGTGTATATGTGGGCAATATAGCAAGTTGGGGACAGCCTAAGCTGAAGCCTGAGGCTTCAAGGCAAAATTTGTTAAATCTGCCAAAAACCTTGAGAGAAACCAGGTTCAGAACCAAGGATGAGACCACAGTCAGGTGGAACCATTGGTAGTATGCAGGAGAATGGTATCTCTCTTAATGGTAAAAAAAAATAATGAAAAAAACCCCACCCCAAAACCTTCCATAAGAGTCTACAATTCTTGTTTCTTTCTCTGTACCTGGAATTAATATTGTCTCCAGGACTGCAGGACACATTCTACACTAGGAGAGGCTAGAGAAGAAAAGAGAAGGATAAAGAGGAGTAGTCTAATTGCTGTCTTCTGTAGCTAAAGGAGATATTAGAGAGACAAAATAGTCCAACTCTTCTCAGAGAACAGTGAAAGGACAAGAGACATCAGGCACAACTTGCAACAAGGGAAATTCTATCTAATAAAAAAAAAATTCTCCCCTTTCCCCAAAGGTGGTTCAGGGTGGCACAGGTGTCAAGAGAGGCATAGGAATCTCCACCCTTGGACGTGCTCAGGGCTCACCTAGCACCCTGATCCTGAGCACCCTGATCTATCCTTGAAGTTAGCCCAGCTCTGAGCAGAGTTGGAGAAGAAGCATTCAGACGTATCTTCCAGACTGAAACTTGCTGTGAGTCTGTGATAACATTGTAGTATGGGAACAAACTGGAGGTCATCATAGCTTTTGCAGCCCTAGTTGGGTTCCTCTTGTGGATTCACACCAAATTGCCAAACGTGGTTTCCATTACCTGGCAGTCATGTAATCTTTTGCTGACATTAGTCCAGGATATAGCTTGCAACTTCACATCACATTGCCCATGGTGTATAACTTCTTGGTGTTCATGCTGGTGAATGCTGTGTATTAATGAAGAGCCCTCAAAATGGATTTGAAAACCCAGTTTAACCCTTGACAAACAAAAAGGTGCCCAGCTTACTTTTTCTGAGTGTACTCTGGTACTCTTTGTGTTTGATTTGGTCTATCTGGCTACTCCTGTATTGCTACACAGCACCAGTACTCTGACACAGTGCTGAGTCCTGGAAGACACCATATGCCACGGGCTGTTCTCCGTGGTTGCTATAGGTCTCTCTATATCATACTGTTCTTCAACACTGTCCCATCAGGATTTGCACCTTCAAACAACTCTTATTACTTCTTGACATACTGCAGGCCATGTCACACGCACCCTCAGTTTCAAGCTGTTAATCACTATGCTGGTGGGCTATAACACAACCTTCCCACTATTCCAGACACTTTGAACTGAATGCCACCCCTTTTCTGGACATGATTATGTCTTAACACCACAGGGGAACTGATAGGGCCCACAAGTTACCTAGGACAAAGCTGTGGATAAGGACAGGGAATGGTCCATGGCCCTTTTATGTTGGGTTGTGCAGAGATAACCTTGAGACACCTTTTAGTTGAAGCTCTATCAAACACCTGCTCAGGTAAACAGGAATTCATGGTGTTCTGGCCTTAGAATTTAGTGTGGTCACTGAGGTTCTCACCATAGCACAGGACCAACCTTTCTCAAAACTCTTGTGGGAAATCTAACAGGCTACTTTGGGAACATATGATAGTAGAAAGTACAAAATACACAGACTTTAACACTGGTGCATTACACACCACTTAGAATTTAGACAAAATAAAATAACATCTACCTACCTGTTAATGTTTCACCATTCTTAGGCACTTCAGGGACAAATCTTGGAGAAAGAGTGGAAGAGCATTTTTTCCCATTCAACAGCTTTATGTCTTCCAAAACTGTCTCAGGAGAGACTCTACCTTTTATACCTTCCATTTCCTTTTATTATCATGCTTGTTTTCACCAGGACAGCACAGTGCTTTACTAGGTAATCTGCTACCCACTCACCCACCCAAGGTGACAGGAACTTTGGCATCTGTTCACACTCAGTTCTGGACATGCATGTGCCTTGTGCACACAGACTCACAGGGTAGCTTTTTTGAGGCACCCTCTGGCACATGTGTATCCTGAGATTCCCTGACAAAGTAAAGGAGTAAAATATAGTTATGTGCCCCCCACCGCCTGGAGGATTTTCCACAAGACATTTCTTCTACAGTGCTAGAAATGTGTATGTTTCAGTGAAAGAGTAGATGCTGCCTTCTCCACGTGTCTTGAAGATGTGATTCCAGGTATATGCCTGTCTTGTGCCAGGTCTTGTCTTTTGACTATTCTGAAACCATCCAGAAGGGAGAAGTAAGATAAATACAGCTGTAACTCTGACACTGGTGTCAAAGCTGGGTGACAGCAGGTGGCCATACCTGCCAATTCTGTTACTCACTCTCTGCTTTCTTTCCTTCTTTCTTCTGTTTGTCTGTCTCTCTTTGTCTCTTTCACCAGTAGCAGCCATATTATTACACAGATGTCCTGACTGTGGGTTGTGCTGTGGGGGTCGGCTGCTGCTTTGGGACACCACTTGGAGGCAAGTGGCTGTTCTGTTTCCTTTTTCTCAGGTACCTAAATCCTCTCCTGCCTAGTCCTGTCCTCCTCTCCCCTTTCTTGCACTGTAATTTTGATCAGCCATCTACTTTGAATGAAGCCTATCTTTAGTGTTACCAACCTCCACAGCTTCTCTGACACAATCTTTTTTCCACATTGTCAGCCTTCTGGAGGCAAGAGGGGAAGGCTCTCTAGAACAGTGGTCTCCAAATTGGGATGTGCCTACCCCAGGGACTGCGTAAGGTGATCCACTGGGGTGTGGGAAGGAAATATTGGAATTTCTGTTTTTTTACTAAATCTTAAAAGAATTAAAAATCAGTTAAGATTTACTAATATTCAGTATGCATATTGCCAGTGGTGCCCTCACTCAGTCCATATGTCAGATGGCCACTTGTCATGAGGTGTCACAATGAAGAGGGTTGACAGTGGTGTGCTCACTCATCTGCTCACTTTTGGCATATTGCAATGTATCGCAATCAGGGTGTGACCACTTAAGTGATTTATGGATTATATTATCTAATGTTAACTAAACTAACCCTCGCAAAATGGACAAGTGGATTAAAAAGATTCCTTCAAAGAAACTACATATTGAAGATAATACTAATAATGCAAGCACAGATGAATGACAAGAAGATAGCAGAGCTGATAGTTCTCCTACTCCTAGCACAGGCTCAGCCACATTATGAGGTACAAACAATGACTAGCTAATCAGGTTTGACAAGAAGTCGGAAAAAAAAAAAAAAGGATATTTAAATACGGATTTACATCCACTATCATTAATGACAAACCTCACCCTAACAGTATATTGTGCTTTGAGAAGTTAGCTAATCACACTATGATGCCATCAGAATTAGCAAGACATTTAAAAACTAAGCATCCAGAACATGAAGACAAATCTCTACAATTTTTTCATCAATGTTTTAAGCTATGTGATGTTCAACCCAGTACCTTACAAAATTTCACTGACCTTAATGATACATGTATAGAAGCCTCCTTTGAGATTTCTTTCTTCATAACAAAAGACAAAAAGCCACATACCACTGGGGAAACACTTGTTCTTTCTGCCACAGTTAAAAATGGCTGAAATAATATACAGAAAACAATACAGTGTGTCCTGGTTCAGCTCGGATAGAGTCAAGTTTTCCCCAGCAGAGATTGAGGGGGAAGGGATCTCCAGCCAGGTTATTCATACCATGCTGACGTCAGGTCCAGGGATGGAGCCTTTTTACTTTCGCTTCTGGTTTGGGGGTTGACATACACAAAGCGGGCTTGCTCCTTGACCACTTTGCGGTATTTCTCTGTATATCCTTTGTCTTGTTCACTGTTATTGATGTTTATTGTTGTTATCGTTGCCACTGCTGCTATTCAGATTGTTTTATCACACTGTTGTATTAAATTTTCTTCTTATTTTAGCCGGGGTCTGTGTTTAACTTTCCAGCCTGACCGGCAGAGGGTGGGGGAAGGGCAACAGCAACGTGCTCTCCGATCCCGGCAGAGGTTAAACCTGCACACAGTGGCAAACTAAAATGCATTCCTTTGTCAGCAAACACTGTTGGAAGTTGCATATAGAAAATATTGCTGGAGGTTTGAAGGAAAAAGTATCGGTACAAATTACACAGTGTTAGAGGTTTGCTATGCAGCTGAATGAAAGTACAGATGTTTCTAATCTAACATGTCATAGCTTATGGTATTTGCTAGATTCTGTTTCGATAGTGAAATACATGAAGAATTTTCTGTAAGCCACTAAAGGAAAGATCTACCAGAGAAGCTATACTCTCAACAGTAAATTACTTCTTTAACAAAAATGTTTTATGGAAAAGCTGTGCAAGTGTAGCAATCGGTGGAGCAGCTGCTTTGACTGGCATAATAAAAGGATTACATGGTAAGGTTACATAGATAGCACCACACCTGAAATTCATTCACTGCATTGTTCATAAGCAAGCTATTGTGGTAAAGAAATGGGAGCCAGACCTGCACAAAGTGCTACAGGATGTCATCAGTGTGGTTAATTTCATCAAAACAAGACCTTGAAACACAAGAATGCTAACATTACTTCAAATGAGATGGGGAGTGATCATGACAATCCTTTGTACCATAGAGACATGTGTTGGTTAAAACAGTTGTATTTAAAGACCAGATACACATTTTTCTTCTACAAAAAATGTGATGATCTCTTCCATGATGACAAGCATCTGTCAGTGTGTAACAAAGTGTTAAAACAAGATTTTAAAAAATAAAGAATATCAATATTTTAATCAGTATTTTTAATGAGAAGAAAAATATTTTTGTATCAATAAATAAAGCATTCTTTTTAAAATTTTTATTTCCTCATTTTCATCCTTTTAAAATTTCTGTTTTTGTGCATGTTTTATATTGTACATAATATGCAGTAGTACATGTATATATTTTTAAAATAAATATACATATATTGGGGGGTACATGCTCCAAAATATTTTATTGGTAGGGGTGCGTGATCAAAGAAGTGTGGATACCACTGCTCTAGAAGACTACTTAGAAGCCTCTCTCATGCTTCTAACATTACACTTGTGATTTTAACTTTGGTCCCTTTCCAACTCTTTCTAGGTGTTCTTTTCAGCATTGAGGTCACTTCTACTTACTTTGCTGTGCGCAATTATTGGAGAGGTTTCTTTGCAGCTACCTTTAGTGCCTTCATTTTCCGAGTCCTTGCTGTTTGGAACAAGGATGCAGGTAAGCTAAGAGCCACTCCTACTCTCTTCGTAAAATGTTGCTCTATTAATTTATTTTCTATCTTCCTCAAAACTACAACTGTGTATGATGCTTGAAACTTCTGCCGTGATGTGTGACAACCAGCAGTACAGACAGAAAGAGAAGGGGAAGTATCTTACGTCATCAATTGTATAACCCAACCTATTCCTAGGTTATGTCTGAAAAATGACTGAATATGAGTCTTTGGCAAATAAGAGGGCCCCTGAGGTGGTAGTTTTGCTTCTACTCAGCATAATGTCAAGGCTGCAAACACAGAGGTATCCCATCACAGAGTATGTGATACATACTATAGTGTATGCTGCTGCTATCTGCTGGAAATACTGTGGTCTGCTTTGGTCATCTCTTGACTAGAAGCATAAAAACCAAATAGTCTAGAAAACTGAGATGATAAAATGATTAGGAGGCTACAGGATTGGTAGAGTCTGACTGGAGGTCCTGAAAAAATAACTGTCTCAAGTAACTGAAAAGCATAAGCGCAAATTTGTGCAGACAGAAATAGCACAGGACAAGCTTGTTCGGAATGGAGTTCCAGCTGATGCTGAAGGCTACCATTTCTTTGTAAACTTCTTGTTTATAATGTCTTTATCTTTTATTCTTACAGTTGTATCTATTTTATTGATCTGAGCAACATGTGGGCAGTTCCTTTACTTAAAACTGCTATAATTTATGTCTCTTGAATTCACAGGGTTGGATTTTTTGTGCTAAATCATTATTTGGCTTGAATATTCTCTTGAATGTAGAAAGTGATTACATCTTTGTTTGTGAAACACTGCCTCATATTGAGAGGTATTCAACCATTAGTTGCTCTAAACCGTCTAAAACCATCTCTAAACCATCAGTTGCTCTAAAACCATCATTGCTCTAAACCTAGTCCTGTCTGACCAGTTAACAAGAAATTAATGCCTCCTGTAATTATCATATAATGTGAGATTTTTCACTGCTTCTTTTCTGTTCTCATTGTGTGAATAATTCCTTCATCCAGGGCAAATTTGAATTTATATCCATCCTCATTCAGCTGCATTTCCACTCTACACTTGATTATTAATTTGTGCTTCACCTGTTGACATACAGATATTTACATTTCCACACAGTTAGGTACCTCCAGGCACATAAAGCAGGACAGGTTTCAACATCTGTGTCTTTTTAGCAATGCAACACTTCCAGGTGAGGTGAGTTGGAGAAAATGAGGCTTAGCTGATATTTTCCATCTCTGATTTCTAAGGCTTTCATTCTTTTGGTATCAGCGAAAAATTTTGCAGATATAACTTCAGAGAGGATCTGAGTTTTGTTTCTAGAAGGCAATCACAACGGTGCATGACACAGCTTCTTCAGGTATGTAAGCACTGCCTGCCTCAGCAAAGAGAGTTTTCAGAGTCAGTGAGTATGTGGGAAAATATTTTATTTCCTAGAGAATGGATGGTAGAAAAAATGAAAGAAAATAAGACCCTTTAAATAATCTAGGATTGTAGCTAAAAATATATATACATTCTCTGAAAACAAACCTATACCAACTAGAGCATTAGGATTGCAAATGCTCAAAAATAGGCATACTAAAATCAGAGCAGTCTGCCAATCTGTAATATTGTGTATAATGTCACGAAACCACATAGAACCATGTATAAACTAGTTCCCCTGTCCTGTCCCTACCCTTAGCTTTTATGACATTTAACTTCTCACCTTCCCTTCATTCCCTTTCCTTCTTAACCTCTTTCTTCTCTCACAGTTACCATCACAGCCCTGTTCAGAACAAACTTTCGTATGGATTTCCCCTTTGATCTGCAAGAGCTGCCAGCATTTGCTGTAATAGGGTAAGTTCCCAGGAACCTGGCTTCTTGCTCTACAAAGGTTATCATGTGAGTTCTGTTAGGAATTCTTTTGCAAAACAGTTACATACATCCGTTTTAGACATTTTGATTGTTACAAATAAGACCTCTGCATTCCTCCTTCAGAAATTGTGCCCATGTAGCACAATGGGTAAGGAAGGAAATGTGGGTGTTTTCAAAATGTTTGTTATTTCCTTTTCACAGAAATTAAGTTCTGAAGAAAAAAAAAAAAACAAACAAAACAAACCAAAACTAAGTCTAACTTGGTCTAGGTTCTGGGTGTAGTTTTACTGAATGACTCTTTAACATTTTTGATGGCATCCCCAAATGAACTGATCCAACAAGTACAGCCTTTTCACCTGACAAAACTGGGATGAAAGACTTAACCAAGAAGTTTCCCTTTTACAAGGTCAGAACAGTTATCCTTTTCAAGAAAGGTTGGTACTCGACATGGTGGCAAGGGTAACTGAACCATAATTGGATTCAGTGAGAAAACAGTTAATATATTGAGTGTCAGTTTTATTTTATTTGTGGAGATATCTGAGATGGTTTCATTTGTCGAGGAAATTTTGCAAAATGAAAGAATGAACTTAAGAAAAATGAGAAGAGAATTGGGAAATACTAGAGAAAAACTGCATTTGGAATTGCCGTGAGGAAAGGTCTTGGGTTAGAGAGAGGCTCCAGGGAAATCACTGCAGAGTAGTAAAGGGAATATGCTCTAGGAAAAAAATACTTGTGCTGGTGTTGTGAACGTATTCTGTTGCAAAACCTGTATACAAGATCAGAAATATATTTGAGGTTTTCCAACTCAATATATAGCCTATATAATATAGGCTGACCTCATATTCATTTACTTGAATATGAACTCAAGTGGAATTTTTTTGAAGACATCAGATATGTTGAAAATCTATGAATATACAGGAGCTTTTGCTAGTCCTTAAATAAATTTGCATGTTGAACTCAGGGGAATCCATTTGTTTAGACTGACAAGGAAGAAGGTAATCCTTAGGGGTTACAGCTGATAAGAATGCAAAACTTCTTATTGTGTTTTGAACAGAGTTGGCAGAGCTGGGTTTTTTTAGTACTCCACATAGGCTAGGAAAGGAGTATGACAACTGCAAAATGCTTTCAAATGCCTGGGTGTTCAACGTGGCATCTTTTTTTAGAAAAAGCTGAAGACTTGGATAGTCTTGGATAAAGTCCTGATGACAACTTAAAATGCTCTGAATTTTCTTAACATTAAGTCTCAAAGTTGGACTCTTTCTATCCAACATATTTCTTCACTTTCAGGTAGGACAAAAAAAAAATGAGCCAGCCCAAGCACTATCAACAGGTAGATCTTGTTCTTCTACGTCAGCAAATGTTAATTTGCAAAATATATACAGGAGGAGCACTTCTATTTTACTGGCAAATTGATAGGCAGAGATGGATGTATTTTTTAATATAAACTAATGCAAAGAAATTCAGTTAACTGTGCAGCCCTTAGGCTAAACAGTGCTGGCTTAAAATATTTAAGAGAAGCTCACTGGACCTGTTTGTGAACAGCTTCATAATTAGTTTAAACTTGTTTCTATGCAATTTTTAAGTGATCATGCAGGATCTTTTTCAACATACAAACTTTTACGTAAGCTAAATTCATCTTTGAATGAGATTTGGCAAAAGCCTGCAAACCATATAACAAAGGAAAATTCCCTTATTTTTAAAAATTAATAGAATGAAAATGTTATCTGTTTATTCTCAGTATTCTGTGAGTTAATTTTATTTGCCACATAATATAATTTTTTTTTTTTTTTTTTTTTTTTTTTTTTACTTCACCTTTGAGTATTACACCATATTGATCCAGGTCTCATTAAGTTACAGAGCATAAGGATCAAGGCCAGTCCTCAGACAGCTATAATTTTTTTGGCTTTATTAGTATCAGGAACATAGGGCTAAATGATTAGGATCACAGAGATTACATACTTTGCTTTAGGCATGAGAGTTGCTATTACATTTAATATTTGATGTAGGCATATAATTTTGCTAAATCAGAGTTAAACTCCCCTCATGTTTATTATTTAATGTTCCAACTCGATGTCTAAGTTCTGACAATACTGGTCTTTGCCCTGTTGCTCTTTGTCAGCCCCCACTGAGATCTGTCAGTCCTTTTTTATAGATTATTTTATAGGTTTTTATAGACGAGATTTCCCCCTATATGTAACAGATAATTTAAGTGGTGAAATGGCAGTGTGTGTGACAAAGAGATCCAAAATAATTCCCTGCTTTCATCAGGGAGTCAATGTCTTTAAGTGAGTTGCTGTAGGAGTAACCCTCTCGGTGACAAAGACTTTATGAAAAAACCTTAAACTCATTTTCTTGACTGATGGTTTGTTTATTATCTGTTGTTTGGTATGATTTTATTTCTTTCTGCTCCACTTTAGGATATGTTCTGGATTCCTTGGAGCATTTTTTGTTTATCTCAATCGCCAAGTGGTCCTATGCATCCGGCGTCACACAGCTCTGAGCCAGTTTCTCACCAAATAGTGAGTGCCTTTGAAGTTATTCTCTTTAGGGATCAGATTTTTATACCCTACTGGTATTGGATAGTAACAAATGTTTTCTGGAAGCTAGTAGAACTATTTCACGTGTAATACAGTAAAACTATGAGAAACTGAATTTATATGAGTGTAAGATATCTATAAACATCAAGAGAATTTGTTCTGTACTGGATTTTCTTTTTGATCAGCCCAAATAGTTTCAGATAGCTTCTTGATTTAGAAGGGAGACTCTGTAATATTCATTAAGAGGTCAAGGGATATTACTGATTGGACAGAAAATGTTTTTAATTAGAAAATCAATGCTTATGCTTCTTAAGATCATGCTGCTTCTCTTTATTTTTTTAGAATCTGTAAAAAATAAACTCAACATCATTTATATTTTAAGAAAATTAAATACAACTGAAATCTAACTATGTCTTGAAAACCTAATTTAAAAAAAAAAAAAAAAATGTATGCAAAAGTATATTGTGCTGCAGTATTGCTGTTACTGAATACTTACAAACCAAATAGTGAAACTGATAGTAACCAAATGATGTGAATTGCAGCATGGAAGAGAAATGCAAAACAAAATAAAAATTTAAGCCATAAAGGTTTTACAGGGCACCTGATACTTTTTTTTTCTAATTAAGTTATAAACTCCAAAGTTATAACCTGAAGAAGAAAAGGTGACTAACTGTAAATGTCTTCAGTCTCTTTCCAGAATTCTGATGCTATGAGATAGCTGAGAGGTGTGGAGGATCTACATTTCTTAGCAAAAGTTGCAGATCTGAGTAGAAGAAAAACACTAGTTAAAAAGAAGTTCAGACTAAATTTATCATGTGGAAGAAAAATTGTCTTTCTTCATTATGCAGCATTACTCACAAGCACCAGCAGAGCCATCAAAGTTAATAGAGAAGTGGAGCAAAGACTGAAAAACAGGAATTTACTTTAAACTTTTGAGCAATTTCTCAGAATTTTGTAGGTCCTTAGACTGAAAGAAATTAAAGGTTATCTTTTGTCTTCCTAAATACCACAGCACCTCAGGTAGGACTTCCTGTAGGGAACACAGTAATTTTGTCAGGGGAGACCTCACTGGATTAGTTCAGCATGTGGAGGCAGTTTACACTCATGTTGTCTTAGTGCCCACAAAGTGTCACAGTGTACCCAGAAACCCATCCTGGGATTGGACACAACGTAGGAAAGCACAGATGGCTTCAGCCTGCTCTCCAGTATGTCCCACTGGCCTAGCACACTTAGACCCACTGGCCACCAAGGACACCTTCCCAAAAATTGTGATGGTCAGCAATTCCATGGAAAGGAAAGCAGTTTTCCTCATAAGAATTAGTGCAATGGGGGATGCAAAAATGTATGAAAAAAAAGAGTACATTTAAATACACTAGGACAGGACACATTACAAGGGGCATGAAGAAACAAGACTGGCATAATCAGGACAAATGGAGGAGGTGCTGGCTTTTGGCAACAGGTCAACACATCATTGTAAATACACATCCCACACCTCATGTACTCAAGTTTGTGTATTTTGTAAATCCCTCTCTCCTTCCATCCCCTCCATTATATCAATTCTGATGGGAAAAATGGCTTTGTTGACAGTTGAACTCTATGAATCATGATAATCAGTGGAGCAGGGCATTAAATTGCCAGTAACAAAACTCCAAGGCAATGGATACAGAGGTGGCAGAGAGTTTTCATAGAAACAGCATTCATAGTCCTGAAGTGATAGTGCTACAAGAAAAGAATGTGAGTGCGTATTTTAATAAATTTTTCTTTCTTTTCAGCCGTCTCATATACCCTGGGGTTATAACCTTCCTTATAGCAACTGTGACCTTTCCTCCTGGATTTGGGCAGTTCATGGCAGGAGAGGTGAGAGTGGGATGTGTATCTGCAATTCTGCAGAACAATCTCCACTTAATCCTGTGTCCCAATAACCTTATGTCATGGAAAGGGGAAGAAAGAAATGGGAGGAGTTTGGGCTGAGGATATTTTGAAACTCTTGATCTTTGCTATCTCCTTCATATAAAACTTGAAAAAGGTCCACTCTCCTAAGCAAGTAATAATGAAGATGTTACCCTGTGTGTAAAAGTAGTTATCCTTTCATCAGTTCAGATGAAGTTCCACCTCTCTTCCTGAAGATTAAAAATGTGAATTAAGTCTCATAATCATCAATTACTGAAGTAAAAATCTCCTCCACTTTCTTGGAACAGAGGTAGAACATTTACTCCATCTAATCTCATGGATCATGTGTGGGTTTTTTGCTGTTTAGTTGATGCCACGGGAAGCCATCAGCTCTCTCTTTGATAACTATACCTGGGCAAAATACACAGGGGACCCTCAGATCCTAGGGAAATCTGCTGCTTGGATCCATCCTAAAGTCAGCGTATTCATCATCATCCTGCTTTTCTTCCTCATGAAGGTAGGAATCCCAGATCACCAATAATGCGTCTCAGAATGAATGTTCTTGACCTTTTGTAAAATAGTTTTTGAATTGCCAATGGGTAGTTGCTGGGTATTGAATGAAGCACAACTGCAATGGGTTCTTATATATTTTGATGTGATGTTTGCCCACCTTGAATGGAAAAATGCCAAAATTATTAGTGCATGGTTTCCTGGCCTTAATACAGTGACCTCCTTCACTGCTCCCTAGGTCATCTTCCTCATGCATCCTGCTGAATGACCTTTGGTACCCACTGTGCAGTAGTTGGTAGGGAAAGATTTATCAAGTTCCACAAAAACAAATAAATGAGTAAAAAGCTCTCAGATAATTTATATTTGGTCCAAACAAAATCTGATACAGTCTACTTTATATTCCTGACTACAGATAAGTGACAAATAAGGATATGCAAGCACAATCTCTAGTTGTGTGAGGCTGAAGGATTTGTTAGAAGTACCATAACTTGATGGAGAAATGCAGCTGAAAACAGTTTTGCTCATTTCTCGTAAAGCAACAGCAGATAAATGTTCTGAGCTGACATGGTCTGTGAAAGTCACAACTGTTTCAACTTCTGAAAATGATACATGACAGAGGAAGAGAAGAGATTTGAAACAAGAAAAGATTCTCTTCCAGTTATATTATATTCCTCTTTCCAACAAGAAAGAGGTTTTTCTTAAAAAAAAAGAAAAGAGATAAGAGGGTAAAATGGTGAGGTTTTTTGTTGCAAGGGAGCAAAAGAGCTGAGGCCACCTTGTAATATCAGTTGAATATTTCAGTACATCAGGAAGGGACATCAATGATTGAATGACACAGATGATTCCACCTAAAGTAAAATACTGTATAAAATTTCTGTCACTTAAGGGTTTTGCTTCTGGGATAACTGACTGTAGTGCATCAAGCAGATAAGGTCTCACTTACTTAAATAGAAGAGGGATGGACTACATAGTGTATCTGTCTTGAGTCCATTTGTTCTCTTTGGAAGAGCTGTATCCTCAAACTCTAGATTCACTGGATTTGTCCCATCAACTAAAGGCCTTCTCAACTCACTAGATAACTGCTCCAAACAGTTTATTTTTATCTGGATATATTCAAAGTTGGAACAGACCACATAATAAAGAAACTACTGTTTCAACGCTGGGAAAAGACTTGGCCTGATTCTCCACTGCACTGTAGTCCTAGTTCTCAGCTCTATTTGACCTGGATTTGGTAGTGCAAAGAAGCTTAGTTAGCAGTACTTCATTTCTGCAGCTTGCTGGCCTCTGTAGCCAGCTAGGAACATTCAAATAGCCTACGGAAAGAAGAGCAACAGCTAATATCAAATTGATGTTCCAACCTTCCTCACAGCATGTTCCTCTACCATGGGCTGAGCAATGCTGTTCTGCTGACTCTCTGTTACCTTTGCAGAGGGATTTCCTAAATGCCAGGCTATATATTGGCTTCATTTTCCCTTTTATGCCAACCATCCTATAAGAGTTACATAGAAGAGCTGTCTTGGATTGGATTTCCTCTCACCAAACTGTCTACAGATTAGTATCTCAGCTGTCTACAGCTACAACAATGTCTGAAGAGGCACCACCTCCTCAAAGGTGGACCTTGAACAGGAAGGATTTGCCCACTCTGAGATTATAGTCCTGAAATACCTGAAAGTATTGCTCTTGATGTGCTGGACCATAGCTGTTTCTCCCCAATGGATGGTACTGCTGCAGCAAGGAACATCTTGCCAGTACACTTCTTTTTACAAGCTTTTGAAACAGCAGCACTCTCTGTGTTTCCCTCAGCTGTGGAAATCTCTTGTCATATTGCCTGAGAAAGTCTGAGCATATTGGCCTTTGAGGTGCTTGTAAGATTAGGCTGTTGGCTCGAGATGAAGTCTGTATGTGCTGGGCTAAGTCAGCATCTGAATTGGTCTTAGCAGTACCAGGACAGATTTCATCATGTTGCCCAGATCAGTGATAGGACAAGAGCAGTGATAGGACAGATAGACACAAGCTAGAATAAAAGAAATTTATGGCAGTTGTACTTCAGGGAAAAAATCTCACCTGAGTGTGTGTCAGTAGTGGCACAAATGCCTGGAAAACCTGGGGAATCTCCATCCTTCAAAAATGTTCAGACCTCACCTGGATAAGGCCCTGAGCAACCTGATCTAACTTAGGAATTAGCCCTCCTGGGAGCAGGGAGTTGGGGAAGAGACCTCGAGTTCCCTTCACATTGAAATCTTTCTGAGTCTCTATAATTTTGATGGTCTTGTTCCATGAAAAGCCAAGCTGTTTGGAGCAGTAGGAAATCTCAACTTCTAAAGTTCATGTTCATCCATCCACTTAGTGATTTGGCTTCTCTGACACCACAACAGTTACCCAGAGGTCCTCTGCATCTGTGATGCTGTGTTGCCAGAGTTCCTCCAGCTCCCATTCACACCCCACCAGCCCCTTTACCCTTCACTTTCTGGCGGAGCTGCCAGATCCCTCAGAATGTGTCTCCTTAGGGATTCACAGGCTGGGCAGTAGAGTGGGGCTGCAGGAAATGCTATTGCTGCTCAGTAACAACCACACTCTCTGCCTCTGTTCTAGTTCTGGATGTCTGTCATTGCTACCACGATGCCAATCCCCTGTGGAGGCTTCATGCCTGTTTTTGTTCTAGGTGAGTTTCAACTTTGTGTTGCAGCATGTTGCAGCTGTCTGACAGGTGAAGATAAAAGAGATATTCCACAAATACCCAGAAGGTTTCTTCCAGTGGATGATGAGTTATTACTTGATGTCTATAACAAGCTCAGTTAACAGTCCATATACCAGCCTCTGAGTCTGCTTTTGTCACTTTCCCATCTGTCAAATTCAAATGCTGAGGAAATCCCTGTCCTTTTACATAAGGAAAGCCACACTGTGGGAAGGCATGCTGAGCCATGGCCTTGTAATTTCTCTGCCTCTTCACCTACAGAGAAACTTTCATCTTACAATTAGTAGTAGTCACTCCTTTCATCCCTAAAATTCAGCTAGAAGAGATAACCTCAAAACTAGTACCTGCAATGTAATCCACCACTTACTCGTTTCTTCTGAGTGAAATATGGTGACATACAGGAGTTGTTTTTTAACTGGTTTTAATTCCAATAACAAAAAATAAAAATAATATGATGTTAATGTTAAGAAAGAGAGGCTATATTAGACTAAAGTATAGAGCTCATGAAGCTCAGCATTTAACCCACAGCTCTTAAATGAAACAGTGTGAGCTAAGGACCTCTGGGTTCTGGCAGGCAGCAACTGAACATGAGTCAGTAGCATGCTCTTGCAGTGATGAAGGCTAACCACAAACAAGGCTGTATTAGGAAAAGCCTAGTCAGCAAGGTAAATAAATTAGTTATTTCCCTGCATTCACTGTTTTGGACACAACTGTAGAATATTGTGCCATTTTGTGTCCACCAATATAAGAGATTTTGATAAAGTGCAATGAGTCCAGTGGAAGACACCGAGATTGCTGGGAATCTAGAGCACAAAACAAACAAGGAGAGCCTGATGAAGTTGGGCTTGTTCAGCCTGCAGAAGAGAAGGCCAAGAGGGGTTCTAACTGCACCTTTCACCAACTAATGCAGCTGGATAGAGAGGATAGAAAGAAACACACAGTAAATAGGGGGTAAAGGCACAAGTTGCAACTGGGGAAAATCTGATGGGACATAAGAAAAAAAGTGTTTCCTTGGTTAATGTGCTCACAAAGGCTGGAGAATCTCAATCCTTTCAGATTTTTAAAGCTTGTCTGGACAAGGCCCTGGGTGACTTGATCTCACTTTTAAATTAGTCCTGTTGTGAGAAGTGGTCAGAACAAGACCTCCAAAAGCCCCTTCCCACTCTTCCATAAGCTGCAATTCCAGTGTTTGGATATTCATAGAATGAGTGTGTGAAAGGCCTCAACTGTGATCTGGATTGACACTGTACATATTCTGAAAATATTTTCTCCTACCTGGGAATCACAAATACCACTGTGACTGGTGTGCCTAAGTTGAAGAATGAGGGGTCAAGTGTATTTACATATCTTAGTACATTTTTCTCCTCTTGGACTCTAACTTCTATCTTTTGTAAATGACAACTACTCTTTAGTCCCTGGTGTCATTTTAACATAAGTTTTGATTTTGTTTCTCTTAGAAAATACCCAAGTAATTGCCCAGCACAGACTGGGTGTTCCTTAGATGTTAATTCTGTAATTGTCAGTGGTATTTTCCAGGTGCTGCATTTGGGCGCCTTATTGGGGAAATCATGGCATCACTTTTTCCCAACGGGATCATCTTTGATGGTATAGTTTATCAGATCTTACCTGGAGGGTATGCTGTCATTGGTGAGTCTCCATGTCTTTCTTTTTCTTTGCCTGGTCCCATCCCCATGACTTTCCTGGATGACATGACATGTTGTTTCTGTATGACAGCCGCTTTCTCTCCCTATTCATTTTCTACCCTACCTGGGAAAGGTGCAGCAGCTCTGACAGGAGCGGTGAGCCACACTGTCTCCACTGCTGTGATCTGCTTCGAGCTGACAGGTCAAATCTCTCACATCCTCCCCATGATGGTGGCTGTCATTCTTGCCAACATGGTGGCCCAAAGTCTGCAGCCCAGCCTCTATGATAGCATCATCCAGGTGAAGAAGTTGCCCTACCTGCCAGACCTGGGCTGGAATCACATAAGGTATAGTACTAAAACAGATGTGGAGGTGGGGAGTGGCAAAGAAATAAAGCAGAAGAACATGAGACCACGGGAGAATAAAAGGTCATGAAAAGGGCATGGTACTACAAAGAATAGGCCTGCAGTGAGAAGAAACAAGTGGAGGAGTAGCACTAGGGTTTGTACAAAGAAGTGGAGAAAAGTCCTCTTTTTTTCACTTAAAGCACAGGTTTGAATAATCTGCAACATTACTGAATTTGTATTAATATTGCCAAATTGCTTCAGTTTAAAAATTTAAAAATCAAATGCCTCATTTCCATGTTTTTCTGAATATAGTGGGGTTTGGATATTTTTATCCAGAAAATGTTTGAAATATCGTTTTATTTTGATATTTTGCTTTAAAAAAAATCAGTTATTCATATACATGTCTTCCTCTCTCTAGTGTACACAGGTATAGAACATCTATATGTATATGTATATATATGTGTGTATTTGTATGGTGAAGGGTAATGGAGTGGAACTCACCTGTAATGAAAATCCAGTTAAGCTGTGTTGATCCTGTTGGAAAGTCCTCTTTGGTTACTATCACAGATTACCTAGCAACTTTATTAAGAACACTTTTTAAAGAAGTGGTCATTTATGTATTTCTTTAAGGAATTTATCTGCTAGACATTTTAATGCACTAACTCTTACGCTTACTGTCCATAAATTCACAGCAAATACAATATCTTTGTTGAGGATATCATGGTCCAAGATGTGAAATTTGTCTCCTCCAACTGTAAATACCGAGACTTGCAAACTCTACTCCAAAGCACCACTGTTAAGACTTTGCCGTTTGTGGACTCAGCAGGTAAGCAATGTGGAAAAACTGGTCCTGAAGACTGCCTCAGTTTAAAGAGCCAAAGAAACTAATTTTCAAATTACATGCTGTGAATGAGACAGGTTGACCCACTACCTAAAAAAATCATCCTAAAAATCTTCTGCTGTGAATGATGTATGGCAAAAGGCTGTTTCAGCTGGTCAGACAGGTAAGCTGGAGTGTGGGCAGCAGAGCAGATAGAGCAGGCAAGGTAGGTGTGGGGGGAGTTTGTGGACTGAACTGTGACAACAGGCAGGGATCTTGCACGAGTAAAGAGCCTGCTTCTGATGTGGTGCTGAGGGGTGCCACAACTCAGGGATGGTGAGTGTCCCAAAGATCCACCGTGTATTAGGAGCAACTAGCAGGGCTGGTCAATGACTCTTGTATAGCTCTAGATGGTACAAGTCTCGGACTTTGAAGAGGCTGGGGGCAGGAAGGGGCAGGGGACATTCAAAACCTTGAAGTAGCTTAATGGTTTCTCTGCTCTGTGTTATGCAGAGACCATGATCCTTCTGGGGTCTGTAGAGAGATCTGAACTGCAAGCTCTCCTCCAGAGACATATAAGCCCAGAACGGCGGCGGCTCCTCAACAAAGAAATGCAGCAGAAACTGTCTGAGGCAGCCTACGATGGGCACAGCAAGGGACCGTGGACAACCCTGACAAAGCTGAAGCATGAATCTTTTGCTTATGTTGATGAGGATGAGGATACAGAGGAGAAGGGAGAGGTGAGGGAGAGAAGTGGAGAGGTTGCAACACAGAGACTGCGTAAGAAGTAATAAAGCATTTGGAGAGGCTGAGAAAGAAATTACACAGGGTGGACTTTTATTTTCTCTCTATAACAGCCCCCAAGTCCCACTCCCAGTTACCCAGAGGAGCCCAATGGCCCAACAAGTCCTCTTAAACAAATGCCTGAAACTTTGGAGCCACAGCAATTCCCAGGTATGGTAACTTCTGGCATGCCTCAGCCACATCCTAGCCAGCTTATGGAAGCTTTCATGCTAACTGTGTACATGCCTGTGCAAGATGCCGATTTCCAATAGAGTGAGAGAAGGAGCTTTCTCTGCTGTTCCTGTATTAAAGGTACTTTGTTAATGCACCTCAACATCAGTGTAACGTACCTGAAAATATCTTCTGTCTGTGATGCCTCAGAGAGCACAGCAGAAGTAAGCCCACTCAGGCTGCTCCCTCTCTCTCAGTAGTCTCCACTCCATCCTTTGCAAGAACATCTCCTTGGACTTACTCTGGAAAGTCTGTCTGGAAGGGTCCTGTCTCTTGCCTCCTTCAGCCCATGAATGAATTTCCCTGGGGAAAGGAGCGTGAAAGCTAAACATCTCTACTTGTTTTTTGAGTAGCTTCAGCTGTTGCTCAGCCATCTCCAAAACTGAACAGCTTCTCCCTTGAACACGCATCTCAGATTCAGATACATTAATATGATGGATAAATACTGATGTATTGTGTTCTTTTGTGTGCCACCCCAGCCTATTTTGGTTCCAAGACTGTACCCATAGCTCATTTCTGATTCGTATATCACATATATTATCACATATTAGATGCAGGATGGTGGGGATATGTTTTGTCTTTGAAGTAATTTCCAAATTCTCATCGCCCCTTTCCATGTGCATCCTCCAAACCACATTCTCTTTGTGGACTGCAGAAACCTCTCATCACAGCAGTTTATCTCTTGTATCAGATTGTTTGCTGTGTTAGTAGTCTTGCTTGTGGACTGTTCTTCTCTTTTCTTCAGGAACACTGATCTATGACTATTGTCTGCAAGGCTTACTTTGAAATGGTTAATTTCCTCTGTTCGAGGAAAAGATACTGCATGGGAGTATTTATTGTGGCATGTCACAGACACCATCTTACAAATTGAATACTAGATTGTGACTTGCTCAGCCTTGTCATATACCATCTACTATGTCCCTCATATTATTTCCCAGACTGCCTTGGACAAGGAGGTGGGCATGGGGCTTTGTATTTTTGTTTCTCACTTGTTCCTCTCTCTTATATATGTGTTTGTTTTCATCCTTCAGACAATTTCAGGCGTTTGAGGCAACTGATCCAGCAGCTCTTGTGCCATTACAACCATCCACTTGAAACAGAGAGTGCCGTCCAGGTTAGGGATACAGAGACCCTAGCAGCACCCTGAAGAGGGAAGGGAATGCCATGGAAATAGAGCTTACTACTCAGAGCCGTTCAGCATTTGGCCAAACCGTGGACATGTTTATAGTCCTGAACTCTGACAGCATCAGTGGGCAACTCTCTCCAAGGAGAAAGGGTGTGATTACTGTAAAGCAGTGTGTGTCTTCCTAAAGAGCCATCATTCTTAGGTGTCAAGGCTACCATCATGACTGAATGTGGGCATCTTTCTCAGTGAATAACAATGCTGTATTGGCTAACTTGGAATAAAATGCAGTTCTATTCCATTTGGCAAACAGTTCTGGCCAGATGAAAATAAAAAAATGCTTTTGCCTTGTGTCATGTTAGATGCCCTTGGATACCTGACATATCTACACATGGTGGGTGGACATCATACAGAACCTATGTGAGACCCATCCACTCTAGGACAGTGGTTGGACTCCATGTGGGATATCTGAGAGCATCTAAAGCAGTACTAGATGACCATGTTTAGGCACCTGAATTGTTCCATCAGTATTCCATAGTCAGTCTTCATTGGCAAGGGAAGCACAGCAAGTACAGAGTACACCTTATAATGTATGAGTATGAAGAAAATCTAAACACTCAGTAATACACTATTTGGAACAAAAAGGGGACTGCATAGGGTGAGGAGGCTGCACAAATTTTTCCTTTCTGTACCCTGTGAAACTGTGCATTCTTTGTCCTTGAACAGTGTTTTCTCCTACAGGAGCCGGAGGAAGTCATTGAGACAATGAGGCCAGAAGAGGTAAGACTGGGTGCAGAAAGGAAATGAGGTCAATCGAGTGCTTCTTTTGCCTATTGGTTATCCCTTGCAATACTTCCTAAGCTCCAACAACCTCAGTGATTGCCACATAAAGCCACAGCTAAAGCCATTTTCTTCTTACAGTTGCACAGCAGGCAAGTCTCACCCAGTAAGAGAAAATATTGTTCTGCTAGGTGTGCTGAATAAGGCTCTGACTCATCTAATCTAGTCAGTCCTGCTGTGAGCAGGGTTTTGGACTAGAGACCTCCACAGGTCCCCTCTCACCTAAATCTTTCTGTGGGTCTATGTTGTTCCTTTAGTTTTCAGACAAAGGGAAGATGCACTCAGAAAGGAAAGCTTAGATGTTCAATCCCTCTTAAGTAGGAAGGAGCAAAAGCTCACTTTCCCAGAAAACCTCTGAGGTACTGGAATTGCTGTTTCCATAGGGACTTGACATCTGGCAAGGAAGGGATGGGGAGACCTAAGGGGTGTGACATAATGGGCAAGATGAATGATCTACATAGGAAGGAAGAAGCATTAACAGCAGAATGGGACTACTTTGGGTCAATATGGCTGATTACTGTAAGAGTGATTCCTCTTCTTTCCTGTGTCAGATAGATGCTTGGGAACAGGAGGAGCTGAACAAGAACGTGTGCTTTGACAACTGCTGCATAGACCCTTCCCCTTTCCAACTGGTGGAGAGAACTTCCCTGCACAAGGTGGGTGCAGACATCTCTCCGAGGCATACACCATTTTTCTCCAGTCTATCATTACAAGTCTAGTCTATGACTTATTTCTTCTCCTTGTCTTCACCTATAACTACTATTGCCAGCTATTTCCACATCCAGCTACAGAAAGTCAGTTTGTTCCTATAACCTGCATGTTCCTTCAATGTCCTGCAGAATGGAAGGCTACATGATAATAAGTCTGAGTATATTTATTAAAATAGCTTTTGGACATTAGATCAGATTTTCCAGCTACTACATTAACAGAAGCATTGTATGCCTTGCTGCTGGGGGCTTTACACCAAGATTTACACTCTGCTTTGTCAGTGTGCGGCACTGGAATGAGTGCTCCTGGATTTCTCAGGGTGTTTCTGTCAGGGTGTAGAGTCTGTCTGCTGGAGTGCATGAGAAGAGTTGTTTGAAACCACCCTATATCATAGGCTTCTCATTGAACTGAAGCACAAGGAAAGAAGAAGCTGGATCACACAACTTCTAGAGTTAGTACAGGATGACTGGAGATAAAAGCAATCATTGCATATCAGGAGTAAGAGAGGACTGGGCTTTCACTCCATGGAAAGGAGAAGCAGTCTACTAAAGCAGAAGTGCACTGTGTATGTTTTTATCAATATTCAATTAATGTGAACTGACAGCATATGCCTGGCACAAAATGATTAATTACTGTTATCAAAGGGATAAGATAGCCTTGAGAAAATTAAGAACAGGTGAGCATATGCTTAAGTTTGGTGTTTTCTAAAGGGCTGGCTGAAGTGATCTGAAAACCACTATCTGAAAATCACTATCGTTGAGAATATACAGGTTACTATAAATTACACCTGAAGGCTGTAAATACCTCTTGTAAAAAAAGAGCAAATAAGAAACTCTAAAATAACAGACAAGTAAACTTAGCTTGGATGCACAAAAAGTGCAAGAAGAAATAGTCAAACTGAGATATGCATAGTTAGAGCTAAATGTGAGACTACTGACAATGGCAAGAATATCATAGCTTATCACGATCAAATCATATTTAACCAGTCTGATTAGGGTAAAATGTCTTGTTCCTGAGAAATGAGATTTTCATTAGTTTACACTTGAATGTGACATTCAGTATCTCATGTGATGTTAAAAAAACCCCAAACTCCAGCTGTGAAAGAATGGCTTAATGTAAGGCCACAGGTAAAGTCCAGTTAGAGCTCAGCTTAAAAAAGTTGCAGGTTGGAAACATGCTACAGTTGAGCACTGATAATGATGTAAGTTTTGGAAAGTCTGATCTACAAAGAACAGCAAAATAATGGGGTATATTTAGGCTAAAGAAAAGAAGGCTGATAGCAGTGTCATAACTATCCTTTTAAGAACGCTTTGTAAGAGAAGGGGAATAACTTGTTCGCAGTGTTCCCACTGTACTGGGTAAGCAGTAACAAGATTAAGTTTTGACAGGAAATATTCTGGAACAGGAAAAAAGAAATCCTGTAGTGTTAAGGGAAACACTGGAATAAATAATCTAAGCAGGTTCTGACTTTGAATATTGATATGTATGATAATTTCCAGCACCAAAATGAAATAGGATCTGTGTAAGTCTCCAGATACAGAGGGTATTGCATGTGAATCTCTGATTGCCAGATGCAGGATGGAAGTGACCTTAAGAATGTGCTCTCCATCATCAAACCAATCCAAACTATGGCTGCACAGCAGAAGGACCAAGGGGTACAAAAGGGGTAGTTTCTCACTGTGATATCTGCAGACTTGTGCTCCTTTGTGATTCCCACTTTAAATCCCAAGTCCCAGCTCTGGTACCAAGTATCATGTCCCTGTATCAAAGTCCCTGAAATGTTTTTTTTGTGGTTTTGCTCATAGACACATACATTGTTCTCGTTACTGGGCCTCAGCCATGCCTATGTAACAAGTATGGGGAAGCTGAGGGGAGTGTTGGCTTTGGAAGAGGTAAGTACAGATCTTTTCATCTCCTAATCAACTGCAAATGTCTTGTGGATCGCTGCAATAACTTACAGGTGCTGGACGATCCAGCTGGGAATATATATAACTGCAATTGCTACATTTTCAATCCAGTGTTGAATTCTGAGCCAACCCTTTGGAAATCATGTAGAGGAATGGATGACTATATTTCAGAGGAGGCAGCAGGTGTTGTTTACAGGGATGTTAGATGGTTCATCCTTCTCATGAACATAGGGCTCTTAACTGGGTGGCTATGACTATCTCTGAAAGTGGTGTTGAATTTGTTATTAACTGTGGAATAAAAAATTACACCATCAGGGTAAATTATGCTCTCCACAGGCCCCAGAAGTAGAGCTGTGACTCTGTGCTTTTACCCTGGACAGCAGATGAACTTCTGCTGGGTAGGGCTGGGTCAGCCCCCTTTTCATTCATTTTTTCTGAACTTTTTGTCTTCTTATAGCTCCAGAAGGCAATAGAGGGCTCCACACGCTCTGGGGTTCGCCTCCGTCCACCCCTTGCCAGTTTCCGTGATATGAACAGGACTTCCATCAGCAGTGAGAAGGTCAGTCAGGCCACTCAGGTGTGGACCCGGCAGGACAACTGCATGGTGGCAGCACAGCAAGCAGCAGACTTGGGCACAGAGAGCCTACCATCTCCGTGCACACACCTCCCCCAGCCCTCACATGTGCATGAAGAGGGGGAAGTCCTGTGCTCCCCTTATGCCACTGATACCGAGTTGGAAGAGATGGAGCTGACAGGGCCAGTAGCTGAAAACATCTCAGACATCCTCAAGGACATAAGCATACACTCCACTGACCTGGATGAGGATGAAGATGAAGATGAGGATGTCCCTTTATAGCTGGTGTGAGGGGAATAGTCCTCACACTCTTCAGTTGAGCCAGTCTTCTTGTGTTTGCTCCTCAAAGAGAAGCTTTTGGATGGTCTTTGCAATCCCCACAGAGAACTGATTCAGCTGGGAGAAGGGGCATCAGACTGAGCCTTTCTTCTGCTGCTTTCTTTCTGTGCAAAGGCTGCTGGACTATATGGGTGTGTGCAGGAGTCAGATGTGGACTGCAAGGTGGCTAAGGGCAAGCTGGTAATGCTTAGGCTTCTGCCATCTCTACATAACGCAGCAGAAGGCATAGTAACAGCACATGAATACTGCTGGACACAGTCAGGATGTTCTGGGTCAATCTGCCACATGGAAAGTGGAGGAGGAGCAGCTTCTCTCATTCTCCACTGGTGTCATCCTTCCAGGCACACCTGACCTGCATGCAGCGTAAGCACAGCTGGACCTCAGCCTGGAAGCATATTGCTACTTCTGACTGCAATCCTGTCCATGTTGTTGCAGTTCCTTTTCACTAGCTCTTATCTTGCATCCCTCCCAAACATTCCCATGTAGAATATTTTTCCTCTTTTTCAATTTTTACTCTGGGATTTTCCTGGATGGGGGTGCAGTTAGGAGCTTCTCCTCTGTCCTTTAGCTGAGCCATGCCATAAAAACAGGTGGAGGTAAAATATTTGGTTTACATTTCATGTCTTGAATTCAGTCAAGACTCTAAGAAAAGCACTGGAAGGGAGGAAAGCTTATTTGTTGCCCTTCACCTCTGGAGTTTTTAAATAGAAAGGGAAAATCTTAAGAGGGGGCATCCTCAGTGTTGGACAAAGAGGAGTAAAACAGCGTGTATGCACCTACATTTCAAATACCTGTGTTTGTCTCTCTGAGTCACTGTTCACAATTTTTACAAAGTTACAGTCTTAAAATACAGGAACTCAAAAAACCAATTATGGAGTGTTACCAGGCTGCCAAGTAATGCAGCAGAGGGAAACCACATTTTCTACACTTTGAAAACAGGTTTATCTCTGAAAATTCCTGCTCTCTTTCCTGGTAATTCTACCCTACCTACTTTCTGCATATTACTGCATACCTCAGATCTGAGAATTCCAGCTCTCACTTTTGCCAGCTTATCTCCATTGTGATTAACAGTAGAGACCTCAACGCTTGTCTGCAGCATCCCTCTCTGTTCCAGTTCTAAATCTGGAGCAGATCTTGGTTTGTATCTTACAAAAAGATGTCTTGTCAGTTCATGTCATGCATGCAAAACCTTAGCATCTGAAGATGCTGCTTTGTTTAACTTGCTGTCCTTGTGAGATTTTCTCAGTAAATAGGCAAAATCAAATTCTGTGTATTCTGCACCTTTCCTCTTAACATTCTACATCTCTGTCATATTTTTAGTGTGTCATGGCACTTAGATGCAGTCCCAAGCAGCCTACGGGATGTGTTTCCACTTATCAGCAACAAAGAAATCCAGTCTCTGAGAATATTATTCTTGGGCATATTCTCCCAGATGTTGCACCTCATCCCCCCTCGCTATATTAATAAAGCATTACCTAACTTAGAGTGACCAGTTTCACCTTAATAGGTTGTTTTTCATAAGCTGTCCCAAGAGCAAGTAAAAAATATCATTACCTCTAATCCAGTCTCCCTAGGAAAATTCCCTTCTGGCTTTAATTTCAAGGATTGACCTTGCACCATTTCCTCTCTGATGATGCTCATGGGTGGGAGAGTCTGTGACAAGCTTATAATAGAGGGAAATCTCCGCAGCTAGCCTCTTGAAGAGGGAAAGATTTATTTTTGCGGTCTGGAATTCAGAGCCACCAGCTCTGTATTGTCACACATGATCTGCCTCTATAAGCTAACTGGGGACAGTTAGATCTTCAGTCCTCCAAGGGTCACCTTGTCCTTGTGAGAAGACAGTGGTGATCTGGGGGCAAGTCTCTTGTGCACCAGCTGCTTGCTTCCACCAGGACAGGGTTGTGGCATATTTCTGGCTGTCAGGCATTAGCACAGAGCCTCCCTGATACCTTTATGTCACCTTCCCCTGCCTGCAGAGAAGAGGCAAAACAACTGCTATTTTTGTCTCAGGGTACTGTGATAGTCTTTTAAATAAGCAGGGGAGAAAGGATGTTCCTTTTAAAAAACTGTAAATGTGCAGTGAGTGCCAACACTCTGAGGCCAAATCTGATCAGTGGGTCCACACACCCTCAGGAAGGGTTTCTCCAATTCAGCCCCACCTTTATCACTAATAAGTACAGAGTTAGGTTTTGCAGCTTAGCCAAACACTAGCACTGAGACAGATGAGAAAAAAAGGAGAAACTCTGAGGCTGGAGTCAATACACCTCCCCCTCCTCTCTCCTGAATACAGATATATGTTCTGCTTCAGTCCCACACTTCTACAGTGTGTCGCAGAAGAACTGGGATCTGACTGGCTGAGAAAGCAGATAGAGTCTAAATCAAAGCCAGAGAGTATGTGAGTCATGACAGACAGATTGTGAGCTGGAGGAGATGAAGCTGGAACAAAAACAATGCACATGAAGAGGCTTGGGGAGCTCAGAGTAAGACACAAGCTAAAGTGGACAGTATCCTGAGGTCTGTCACCTGAGAGTGCAAGAGAACACATGGGTGCCCACACATGCACATACACATATCCCTCCATTCCTATTGCCTCTATCTGTCCCAGAGTTGCCATGAAGAGCTGGATTGCTCCTGTGGGGAAGCTGAAAGGTGGGTGTTACTGCTGCTCTTTGGAGACACTACTCAAAATCCATTCCAAGTATTCCACCAGTCTTGGAGCAGAAGCATCATTCATCTGCACATTTTCTCACCTGGGAAAAAGTATGCATACATGAATGTGTATAGGGAGCCAGGAGTGGACAAAATGCATACTGTAAAGATGCTTTGCGGTGGCTGAAGATGTTTCCACTTCTATTTTACCAATAAAATCTTCACTGAGCTGATGCCAAGTACTTTAATAGGTGTAAAATGTGCAGTAAATTGACACTGAATCTTTGTCAAGGAAACACTAAGCTTGCACCATCTCAGGCAATCCCAGTAGGCCCCCTCAAAGTTCAAACTTGAAACCTTTGTCCAGCAAACAAAGTCACACTGATCTGTCACTCTAAAACCTGCATCTCTCATCCTATCCAAGTAGCACAGACTCAGCTACCTATACACAAACATAATTTTTTCCCCAACCTAAAATATCCCCAGAATATTTATCAGCAGGGGCCTTCCCATTCAGCTAGAAAATCAAATCTCAGATCTATCCCCAAAAAATCCAAGCACAAGCCTTGAAAAACAAGAAGCTCTCAGGCTGTTTTGCCACAGAAACTTGCTTTTCTCCTAAATAACATGTGCAGTTGCTTATAATCATCATTCTGGGCAGAGATTCATGTTACACCAAGCTTGCCACTACCACTCAAAGTACTAAAATAGAGCTGATCTTGTTCAGCCTTTTTAACTCCAAGCACCTGCTGAACTACATTTGGTACCCAACAAATAATAGTCTGAGAAGAACACAATAGTGAAAAATCTCCATCAGAGCAGAAAAATTTGGGAAAACACAAACAACAACACAACCACCAATAACAAAAAAACTAAAAGAAAAGATCCTTTCACCTTGTATCTTCAAGATAAATGTAGTATTAATCTCAACTAATTGCCAGTTTGCTGATAAACATTTAATGAAGTTATCATTTTCTGTTAAATTTTAATCTAGAAGTTAAGAAGTTAGCGTTAAATTTTAAGAATTTATCTGTTAAATTTTAATCTAGAAAAGCTTGAACTCTTTCTTTTACCTGGCATTTAAATGTGAAAGAAGTTTTGGTTTTAAACTCATCAATATAAAGGATTGAAAAAAATAAGGAAGACTTAAGGTTGACAAGACAACGGCTAGAGCTTTGGGTAGTTATGACAAGGCCTTATAAGAGACTTGGTCATGATCCAGATGAAAGAGAAAACACATGGGGAGGGACTACTGGACAGCAAGAAAAATTTTCCAGAACAACGTAACATTTTTTTGTTGGCAAATTATTTTAGATTAAAAAACCCTCTAGTTTGCTAACCCTATGGACAAAACCAGTCAGTACAAGCAGAAATAGAGACAGAATCAAGAGTTTATAAAAAATAACTCCCTCTTTCTCTCCAGTTATACAACCACTGTGTAGAAGTGTGTGTTTTGTGGCCAAAGAGTACAAGGGCAATAACCAGCTGAGCACGTAAAGATTCCTCATTGCCAAATTAATTAAAAACACACTATTAAAAATACTGTTACAGCAAGTACTAAGTTGTTCATGGCCACATAAGCAAGGATCTGGGCCCAGCTCTCATAACAATTTAATCAACAGTGGAGAACAAAAGCCATGCCTGAGCATTAGTGTTCTCAAATAGAGAAAAACATTTTTTATCTTAAGCTACGTGATGCAAAACTTTTTAAGGCCTTATTTGTGGGAGGTAAGCTTAAACTGGCCCTGATCGTAAACCACAGGCTCTCATTGTGTGCCCCTGCCATACTGGACAGACAACCCTGTGCATGTGTATTCACACCCACACACACAAACACCACTTTTTTCAAATCCCAGGTGTGCCATAGTAGATAGCTCTTCAATTGGGGTTGCCTGTGCTTTGAGTCACATCTTCCCTCCCTCCTCAGCTTGCTGGAAGTAAGTCCTGATGCAGCCACACAGTACTAAAGACTCAACTGTGGACACTGCTAGAATTAGTGTGCTAGCTAAATGAATGCAGTCTCAGCCAATCTATTACTAGTTCGAGCACTGGCCTGTCAAATGAGCCTTTGCTCACATCCCAACGGTTTTGGTGTGCTGCTTGTGCAAACATCTTGTGCTCCATAGTAAAACCAGTTACCGAAACAGATCTAGTCAACTTGAAGGAGTGCACTTGATATGGAGGATAAAGTATGTTGAGGAAAAGTCCAGTAGCAAATTTATAAAGGAAACAGAATGTAGAGAATTTAAAATGTGAAGTACCTGCTTTGTATGTGACCATCTAAAAGCTGCTAATATCTGGCTATTTACTGAATAGCTACTTACTTAGTTTGAAGAACAGAAGGTAAAAATACAAGACCTACCAAGATATGTTCAGAACTAAATTCACACAAACTCACTCAAGTTGGAAGCTTTTCAGTTTTTCCACACAGAAACAAGTACAAAAGACAGTAATGGAAAGCTTATGAGGAATACATTTGCCAAAAAAAATTAATCTGCCTTTTCCCCCCCCTCAAACTTCTATAGTGCACTTAAAGAAATGGGCCATGAAAAGAAATGGGAGCTGTGAGATGGTTGGATTATGATCAAACATGTCACAGATTCTTATACTTAAATCAAATTTGCAGTTTCTCTGGCACAGAAGATATGAACTGTCTGAGGGACTGTACAGAAAATACCCTTCCAGCTGGCGAAGTGAAGAGCCAGTGAGGTGTGCAGTGTAAGAATGGTCCTATGCCCTTTTTATTTACTGTTTTCATTATGACATGAAAGTAACATAGGAGAGCTTGTAAGGCAGTAACATGAGAGAAACATATGGTAGATTTGCCATCTAGTCTAAACAGAGAAATAACCAGAAATTAGAGATGAGAGACTAGGGCAGATACCACAGAATGAGGTTCCGGTTGGGGCTAAGCAGTTAAATCTAGAGGAGATGTATTTAACTAAGTGATAAATCTAGACTAGTAGGATGGCAAAAGAGTTCTGTTGGGTGATGCACTGAGCAGTTAGACACCATCTTTGTAGTGTAATGTGAAATTAAGAAAAAAAGACATTTTTCCTATGCAGAGGTATGACTTCAGGCCCAGAGACATGTTATTTTCCCGGGGACTCAAGTCTTAAACATATGTGGAATAACTAATTTTATCTGACACACTATATTTAAAATAAAAAAGACAATTTAGAGGCCATTTGGAAAAAAAAAAAAACCAACCCAAATTAAAGAGGAGTACTAGGGAACTTACAGCATTGACAAACACCCCCCCAACCCCCCCTCCCCAAACTTAAAGGAGGTAAGTATGTGTATCTTATGTAAGTCACAATTAATTATATTGATCATAATTATGCAGACATACATACCAAGGGTTGGGTGGGAATCTATTCAGTAGCAAAGGCAGGTAAACTGGCAGAAAGCAAACTAACTTCAAATAGAACACAGAAAGCAAAGATCAGCTAAATAGCCCCAATTGTGATGTATACTGTGCCTTAAGCAGGGCAAGTGAGACTGCTTAGCCCCTGTAAGAACTGGCAGAAAAATGCAAGTATCTTGACAGGGAAGTAGGTATCTTTTATAGCTAGAACTTAAAATTCTCATATGGTAAACAAAACTCTACTGGATCTGGCCTAATGTCCTAAACCAGAAGCAGATGATTACAATAATGCTGGAAGTGCAGAGATGTTCCTTTCCCTCTGGGTCAACAAATTCCCCAACCTGCTATGAGGACAGCAGGCTGAGAAGCACTGATTTAAAAGTGAAATGTGAACTCAGAGATCCTTGCTACCCAGTGTCAGTGCCTTTTACAACCCCAGCATCATACTCCTCTTTGTGTCCTGTCCTAATCTGCTGTTGTGAAACTTTTGTCCAACTCTGTTACCAGATGTGTCTGCATTTCACCAGTATTGGGACAAAACATGTATCCTCTGGAAAATGCTGTTTCAGTGTAACAGAAAAACTCACTCTGTGCTAAACTAGAGGATCCTGTTGATGTGATGCTGTCTCTCATCAAATTGCCACAATGGCCTGGGATTTGTGTCATGGTAGCCACAAGCACACATGAGATTTTAGCCCTGTATAGTTAAACATGTGATGTTCTTACCCTCTTAATGAGAAATAGTGTGTCATATACTTCCTAGTCTTGGGTGCTTCTCCAAACCACCATGGATGCTCTTCAACGCCCTCCGTCAGACTATCTCACTGAGACCCACCCCGTCTTCCTAGGATCTTCCTTCCTCAGACGCAACTCCCCTGGAACCAGTCCCACAGAAATAAAACACTTCCACCAGCCAGGATGGCAAGACCACATTCTGTTTAATAACAACTCCATAAAGGACTGCACATGCTATTTTGAGCTACCTCCCCTCCTTTACTGTGGTTACTGCCACATACAGGCATGGAGGTGTATAGCGCCATATAGTTTCCTAAGTCTGTATGTAGTGTGTGTACATGTATGAATGTGGTTGTATATGTATGTATTTATATATATCTTTGTAGAAGTGCTATAAGTCACATTATCAAAACATGCGAAGTATATCCAACAAAAATTTTCAGGCAAACATGTTTTGGAGCTGGAAGACCAAAGGCAAATCAGACTCATTTTAGTTATTAAGGGCTTGTGTGGGACAAGGTAAGGATGAAAGCTTTCAATAGTGGGTCATTTTCCCTTTTTGTTTTTGCTTCCATTCAGTATGTTCCCCCCACTCCAAACATCAATGCACCTCTGTAAACACTAGCTTGAAAGAAATCATATAATCACCATGCAGCCTCCCTCCTACAGAAATTGTGTACAGGCTTGGGGGAAGCTCTTTAAAATTGTTTTGCAGCAACCTCTGTTGTCCCATACGCTTATGCTAAAGCAGTTTCACACACTGAGAATACAACATTTAAAACCCCAAGCCTTTACTTACTTTTAAACATGCTTCAGGAATCCATTCCACGTGCCACCCTTCAGACTCCTATCCCCTTATACCTCCCAAATCCTCAGTCTGTACCCTCCCATATTCAAAAAGAGCTGAAATAACAGAAATCCTGTTCCCTGTAAAATTTCTTTTGAGTCCAAATTTTATAGTGTAGGGATTCCCAGAGACCTGCAATCATGCACAATATCCACAAATTAGAGAAGAAAAATTGAAGCCAAACAAGAATATGTGACTGCAAAAGAGCTTTTGGCTTGCTACATTACTCACACATGCAGTATCTGAAAAGATGGGAAGTCCACCTGTATTTGCTTCATGGGAACTTGGTAGAGCCCTGGAAGAGCTGGATTTCATGGCCAACGAAAATGAACCCAGAACACCAGTGAATGTGGACTAGATCCCTTTAGCTTATTAGAAGTAAATCCTGGTGCATGGTCTTGTCTCCATAATGGAAAAGAGCCTTTTTAGATGTTTTTTGTCTTGCTAGCATGGACATTTGATCCCTTATGGGAAAGTAAAAACAAGACTAGGTTTCAGAGGGCATTTAAAATGTCCCCAGTCAAAGGAAGATGAGGAAGATCCTCAGTAGCATTCTTTCCACAGAACACTGCAACCCTCTCTTCCTAGAAGATAGCAGCTACTACTCATCAGTAGGTAAGTCCTGCCCATGGCAGGGGAGTAGGAACTAGATGATCTTTAAGGTCTATTCCCACCCAAACCATTCTATGATCCTATGATATCTGCACTGAGAACATTCTTGAGCAAGTCTTCATAGTTTTACTAAGCATACACTTTCTCAGTCACAGCCTGACTAAAGTTTTCTTCTTCCAATGTGTATCTCAACTGAAAAAATGCATCACAGATTTATTTTCTTTTGTGCAGACCAATACTGACAAATCTCTTGATTTCCAACGAAAAGATAATACTTTGTTCTGCCCATGCTGGGGAAAAATATCAGTACAAGAATGTACATAGACCCTAATGTTCTAAGCACAGGTTTTCCATGCCCGTTTCTTAACATAATAACCATTTGTCTCCATCTCTATCCCAGTCAATTCAAGAAGCTGGCTGTGCTACTGAGAGAGCATAGTGTCCCCAACAGTCTTGCCCAGGCTCCATAGCATGTTCTGAGACAGAGGCACTGATCTGGCACAGATGTCCAGCTCTTCTCTTCTGCTCCTGTGCATGTTCACTACTACTTAGCCTGGGAAAAGCCTATGATACAAAAGAGGTACCTGATGTTGACTTTACAGCTTGCATTCATGTATGAGACTGTAGGCTGTCCTACATGTACATTTAGTTCTAATAGGCACTACTTTACTCACATTTTCCCTGTTTATTTTTCTTTTCCCTGAGCGATGGCATAGAGTCTTTTTCCCTGTCAGATTGCTATAGGAGAGGGGAATGATGAAACTGTTACTTATTTACATTCTTCTAGATGTAAGGGCACCAGATGCTGATAATCTCTGTACTGGGATAGATTTTTTTTTTTTCTTTCATTTCTTTTCCTTTTGGAAAAAGTCAGTTAGTTTAAGGGAAATGTCAAATTGTGTAGAGTTGTCTGAACCAGGAACATGGGAAATTCCATCTGGGAGAAATTAAAAGGAAGAGCTTAGACTATGCCAACATCACTCTGCTCTCTACAACATTTAGAGGTGGATTTATTTTAGTTCATTTCTCCTTCTAGGCAATTACCAATATAATAGTTAAGGCAAACTGAGTTATATTTAGATATTTTGGCTTTCCAATGAGAACAGAACTCCTATTAACATCATTTGGATAACGACTAAGTTCTTATTTGGTGTATTTCTTATATGATTCTCCTGAAGAATTAAGCATACTGTGAACTGTTTTTCAACGATGATGAAAGAGAAGCCAGCAGATGCTCAAATTCAGAGAGGTCTCTTTCCTATCGCTCAACCTTACAGAAAGAAGTGTGGTTGGGACAAAGGGGTATCATAAACTCCAATCCTGGAGCTACAGCTCGTGTAGCAATTCTGTACCTGAACCCATTCTATCTGGAGTCTGCCATGAAGCTTCCTACCTGTGCTGTGTAAACATCAGACATCAAGCTTTTCTTGATCTTTTTCCCAAGCCTTTCTCTCAATGTCCTTCCCTCTGCGGCTAGACTTGCTGTTGCACAGAGCACACAGTTGTCTACAAGCCTACTTTGCCTCACCCCATACCTCATATCTGTCAAATGAAGAAAACAGTTTCCTTCTCCCCAGTTCTCTGGGCCTACAACTAATATCTTCAGTTGTTGCTGTACATAGTACATCATGCACAGACTCTGTTTAGGTGTGAATAACCATTCTGGATCTCACACTATATTGGAACTGGCTTAAATATAGGGACAAATCTCACCTCCAACAACTGTGCTTCACTCCTGCACAAGGCTCTGCCTCTTGCAATTACAGGAGAAGACTCATTAGCATCTTTAGCTGCCATGAAGTGTAACCACTGAGTGCATACAAGATTTGTGCATGTTAATTTTATTAATTCCATGTATATATCAAGTTACTCATCTCCTCCTGCACTATTGCAAGGGTTTCTCCCAAAGGGGCCTGTAGATTGGGAAGGAATAGTGAGGGAAATAACAAGGCATTAAATAACATGAGAGACCAAATCAGAGAAAAGCATACTAGAAATTCTAAGGAAAACAGTATGGAAGGAAGAGGGGAATATGTCCTCCCTGGTGCCCCAGCTGGGTTTAATCTTCTCAAACAGGTATTTCATAAACAGCTTAAGCTAATTTAAGTTACATCTGCAACCAAAGAAATAGTCTTCAACATGACCATCTGCACATTTCACCAGCCCTCAGTCATGCTTGCCTCGCCAAGTGAAACGCCACAAGGAGCTGATCCCACTGAAACCCTTATTTGGTAGGGGACAGGGCTGGTTTTCAATCAGACCAATTCCTGAGCACCCAAATGAGTCTCGGCACTAGCGCTTCTTAGGTAGTAGGAGTATACAACTGGTGGTGATGGAAGGGAGGAGCTGCATCCTTTTAGCAGCTTAGACAACTCATGAAGATCCCATTTCAAAGTGCACTTACCCACTTTCCCTAACCTGATACAAAGGCCAGCTGCTGAGAATAGTGTTCCCTCTCCCTTTGTTCACAGCTGGTCCCTCTTCGCTTTTATAGTAGGGTGCACGGGGTAAAGTGCAGTGGCTTGCTGTGGGGGTCAACTGTGCATCAGCACCTGCACAAGCACTGTGGGAGATGAGCTGGCAGGGCAGACTGCTTCCTCCTTCACAGCAGCTCACTTTTTGATCACCTTAGAGGTATGGTTCTGTTCTCTACTGCAAACCTATCATGAAAGGTGATGTTAAAGTTTTTAAGAGGGAAAAGCAAGTGTGTGACTTGTCAGCAGCTTCCCAGAAGATGGTGATTTAGAGGCACAGAAAATGAAAGAAGCAGATTGACTTCTCTATCCCAGAGTCTGAGATAATAGTTGTAGACAACTCACAAGGCTTGTAAAGAAAGCTTAAGATTTATATAAAAGAAAAACTTAAGAAATAGCATAACTGATCAGATATGAGCAATCATGGGAAAAGGAACAAGATTTTTCTTGCAGTAGAATCTGAGATCTTTTTCAATTAGGGTCACTTGTGTTTAAGCCTTTCTTCACATTCAGCACAATAATTTCAACAAGTTCCCATTGAGGACAAAGGCCTGAGGGGAAAGATGGGAATCTTCTACCTCCACTGCTTCAAGAAAATCCAAAAGTTTTATGTAATGCAGGTCTGATTTACAAAGGGTATATGTAAACGAACAGCTGGGTTCAGTTTCTTAATAACTATAGATCAGCTTACCTTTCTTTCTTATTTTCAGTCTCACAAATTCCATTTGGGCTCTGAGTATTTGGCTGGACTCTCTCCAACTCATCCCTTCTCACCAGGATAAAGGCACTGCAGGCCAAATTTTGATCACAGAGCACCTGTGCCTCCCATATGCTTCAATAAGTGCAGCTATAGAATAACGGCTTTTCTGGGAAATGTACTGTAGGTTCCAGGTCCCTCTCTATGATATTGGATACACATAAGCAGCAGGCCTGTTACATAAGAAAAGACCAGGTTTTACAAACCATTTTCCAAGAGATTCAAACTGACTTTCCAGTTCAGCTCAGGATGCTCATTCAGGTAGCAAGTGTGGATGGGCAGACCTGCTCTCTGCAGTCAAGCTCCTGGCAAATGTAGATACAATTTCTCTTTTAGATTCTGGAGAGGCCATGGAAAATAGCCCTTTTTTTTTTTCTTTTTTTCTTTTTTTTTTTTTCAGAAAAAGGCTGAACTCTTATTATTCACAGAAAGTCAAAAAGTTTACGAAAAAAAATATAGAATTTAGTAAGCTTGAAAGTTTTTGTAGAGAGTAGTATTCAAACCAGTCTGAATTCACAGAGAGAGTCTACAAGTTTCTAAAGATCGAGTTATGGAATTATACAACAGGGTATAATTCTCTATCCCATTCCACAGAGGTTAGAAAGCTCTACAGATAGGTTTCCTCTTCCTATTGAACCCCCCCGAATTTTCTATAAGGTTAACTTTTTTCACACTTTTTGCCTGTCGCTGTCCTGCATGGAGATAATGTACATCTTTTAGACATCAATCAGACATCTTAGTAAATGTAACACATGTCCACACTAAAAGAAAATGAAGCCCTGGGTAAGCTGACCCACTGTCCCAGTCCTGTAAACAATACAGAAGGATCATTAGAAGCTACTCTGAAAGTTACCGTAAACATCCAGATTGGTCCAGAAGAGGCACATGGGAATGAAATGGTTTGGAGAAAAAAGCAAGAAGACACCCAAACCTCCCACAGAGGAACATACCTGACCATTTTTGATTCCCTGAAGGCTTTTTAAAAAAGCCATAGAAGGTTAACACTTAATCATCTGTCATCTACTGAGGTGCTCTTGGCACTTGCCCCATCTCCTTATTCTGGCTAGTGTGATTTCCTAGGCCCTGCTCCATGGCTAGACCCAAACCAGTTCAGGACAGTGAGCTTGCACTGGCTCCGCAAGAACTGTAGGAGATCATCTTTGTAGGAGATTGTCCTGCCCAGGGGAGGTTAGCACCTGAATGTGTAAACATCTTTAGAGAGATATTGAAAGGTCATCATTCAGGAGAAGAGCTACCTCCTCAGAGAGATGCAAGCAAGCCCAAGTAAATGGGTAAAAAGATGGTCACAAAAACTTGTATCATCTCTTACCTACACCAAATTACCAGCCTTACTTAAATATCCCATAGGTCTTTCCTTTAGAGGTGCAATGGCGAGGGAAGACAGATCCGCTTGAAGTGGACTTGGCTGGAAAGAGTTGGGTTTTCATAGAGGAGAGCCTCTTCATGCAGCTGCCTGTGTAAGTGGGAGAAAGCTGAGTGGGGTAAAGTTCTACCTGAGAGTCCCATTTGTACTTCTCATAATTCCTGGACATCATCCACTTTGCTTGGAGTTCAGCTGTCTGAACTCTGACACATGATGATATTACTTCAGTCACATTTTATTCTCTTCAGGCATTCTTCCCTGCAAATATGCTAGGACTAAACTTGAATCAGGACAGGAGCATGTATCACTCTGCTGTCATCCAAAAAATACACCAAGCCTGAAGAGGAGGCAAAGAAGAGACAAATGTATCATGAGTTAAACAGAGTAGATATGAGTCAGAGTAAGTGAGAAAGTCACCCCTGGGCAGTATGGCAGTGTCTGGGCAAATTCCTTTCTCTAGCTCATCAGATCTATCATCTGATCTAAACCCATGCTTTGCTGATGCTTCTTTGCAAGAGGTATTGCAATTAAAACTCAGCACTTGGGTAATCTCTGCTGGTTCTGCTCAGTCCTCTAGCAAAATCGATAGCCTTGTACAATTTTTTCTTTTGCTTTCGCTCTTTTATTTTCTGGTTAAGAGCTTGAAAGGAAGCGTTTGCTCCTTTCAAAACCCCTTCCCCCCAAAAGGAGGTCTGTAGAAACACGGAGAGGAATTGTAAGAGACCAAATACCCCCTCATCAATAAACCATAATCTGTTAACAAAAAAACCCCAAAACAGAACCCGTATAAATGGGGAATAGTCCTGAAATCAGCTTTCTCCACTCCTAAAAGAAGAGAGGGAGGGAAAAGAAACAGACCCAGTACTGAGCATTATTTACATTGCTTTGGGGTAGGAAAACAAAAGAAGAAAATATAGGCAGGAATAAGAAATAAACAGGAGGAGAAAACTTCCCCTCACACCCTTTTTCCTCCAGCTACATTTGGCACTGCAGAAGGAGTGACAGAAATGGGAAAGATGCAATATTTCTGTTAAGTGATGACTGGAGTACAGGCCTTTCCCACTATTAACTGCTTTGTTAGGAACACTCACCCAGCGATATAAAAAGGTTACAAAAAGCAAAAACTGAAAACTCCAACGTAAACTGGGTATCTGTGATCTCATAGCTGTACACACTGTTCCTGGATCTGCTGCCTACTCTCTGGGTCTCCCCCTACTGCTGGTAAGGGAAAAGACAGAAGGATGCAGCAGCAGCACCAAGATAGACATGTTCTCAAGCCCCCTGCAAGAGTCAGCTTTTTATGACTGTCTCCGTAGCTGAAAATGTCTTTTCCACTGGCATCCAGTGCCCAATGCCAAAAGGACACACACTCTTGCCAGCTCCTGGGGAGGTAGAAATGTCAAAAAGAGAAAGAAATAAAGATTAGAAAGAGACCAAAGCATGAGTATCTGCGAGCAGGGTTAGTTTCGTATCTGCATCCATTCTTCCATGCCACATCAGAGCCACACCCACAGAGCCAGACTATCTGTACTGCAGCACAGCTCGTGCCCACGGAGCCGAGCTCATATCCATCAAGCCTGCAATTTCATACAAGGTGCTACTGAGGATTTGGTTACACAGTGAACCTTTCATCTCAGTACAGTCTGTATCGAATACAGCCTTATCCTCTGTATCAGCGACAATCACAATATTAGTGCTATCTATATTTGTAAAGCCATATCTTCATTTTATACCAGTTTATATTCACATATTCTATCAAAGGGGACCATGTCCACAGGGCAACATCCATTCTGCCAAGATGGATTCGAGTCACACAGCTGCTCCCTATACTAAGCCTGTCTCATCAGCCACATCCCCAGTACCAGAAAAGTTTGTATCCACAGCCAAGACTTTGTATTAAAAAGATTTAGAAATGATTTACCAATCCAGATCTCTCCAAGCACCTCACATATGTTGCCCAGAGCAATGAAAATCAAAAATGTCCAAGTGTCCATGGTGGAGTGGAAGAAGAGGTCTTCATGTGTCAAGCACTTTCAGGTTTTCCTCTTGTTTAAAAAAATAAATGTCAGGAATGGAAGGTGTGTCTGCTCAGAAGTATGGGGAGCTGGAAAGAAGAATCCCTGCAATTTCATTCCTTGCCACCCCTCTCTTTGTTCAGCAGTGATGACAACTTCACAGAAAGCATCAGTTGTTTGTTTCTCCCTCTTCCTCATCAAAGGACTGCACCCCAGAGGAGGTGACATCTGAGACTTTGCGGCTCAGTGCAGCATGTTCCATCTCCTCTCGAGGAGACAGTGATTCCAGGTCCCGGCACACTGCATCATCCTCCTCTGGAGAGGGCTTCTTGCTTAGGAGAGGAGCCTTCTCCAGCCGTGGGTTCCCTTCATCCTCAATGTGGTCCTCCATGTATGTGCTAGACTCAGCCCCACCCCCACCCTGTGCAGTCTGCAGGGGCCACACATGGGCCAGCCCCGTGCTCTGGATGAAGTTCTGCTCCTGCCGCTGTTGCTGCAGCTGTTGCTGCTGGAGAAGGCTGCTCTGAATCAAAATGCTTTCCTGAAGGTTTGTCTGGGACTCATCAAAATTTTGGCCTAAGTAGGAGCCAGTTGCTGGGGAAGCGATGAGGGACTGGTCACTGGTCTCCCAGGCATCGGATGAGCCTAAGCAATACATGCCCTGCGAGACGTAGGAATGAGGCCAGCTATCATACTGCGTCTGGGCCATATGCTCTGCAAGAAAAGCAAGGAAACAACACAGTTAGACACTCTCTCGGCCAAGCTGGCCCACTCAGATAGCTTATGTGCCTGTGCATGGCACTGTACTGTATAGGGTAGATAAATCCTTTAGAGGGGAGAAGGGTGAACAGAAAAAGCAGTTCTAGACAGAGGCAGATGAACTTGATTATACACACCATTTACTGCAAGGGCTGTCACCAAAATAGGCAAAGGAACTGGGCTTTGGAGCCTCCCTGTAAAGATCAGACTCCTTGGACAGCTCCACAAACAGGTGATGCCTCTGCTAGATCCCAACACCAAAAAATCAGGTCACAGAATAAAACAGGGTAGAGGTAAAGAGAGCAACATGACAAGAGCAAGAAATGGGTGTTTTAATATTAGAAAGAGGCACTGGAGCTCACCTTGGCTCTCCATTAGCTCCTGATAGTTCTCAGAGTAGTTGCCTGCTGGGTTCTCCTGATTTGAGTTTACACTCACATCCTCACCATCCATGGAGGACCAGGCCATGAGAGTTGCCTCAGAAATAGCAAATTGCTCCATCACTCCTGTGCAAAGAAGACAGGGAGGGGAAGCAGGCATGTGTAAGTCCCCACTTCTCGCCATCCTCTTTAACCTCATCTCTTGGTCACACCTTGTCCCATCTCAGCAACACCCATCATCAAAAGTGGCCCTCACCCTCTCCACTTTGCATTCCACTGGCAATACTCCAACCACAGTCTCTCTCTCCTTCAGCCATCTGAACCACCCACAGTGTGTTTTTCAAGTTCCTGCACTTTGGTCTTAGATGGATTCTGCTCTGGGACATCCCAACCAATCCAATCCAACCCACATGCCAAAAAGTTAGCACTACCTGCAAGGAACCGGGCCTCCTTTTCACCATCACTCAGGTCTGAGTAGGCATCAGCATCTTTGCGTGCTGTCTCATGCGTGTGCTGCTGCTGCTGGCTGTTACCTTTGCCCCAGCCTTGCCATTCAATCATGTGAGCCACACGGCCTTGGCCCATAGCCGTTGGCTTTGTGACATGGTCCTTCATGCTGCGAGATATCCCTAAGGGGCCAGACATTAGAAAACAAGCAAGGGCTATTACACAGCTCCAGGGTTGTCTGTCATGCTGTTTATCGCTCTTGGAAGTGGAGCTTCTCTTCTCCCCTCCTTTCCTGACAGGGTTCAAGCCGGGTTCAGGTTGGGTGTCTCCCACATTTCACTGTATCACTCACTAGGACAGTTTCCCCATCTTTCTTTTGACTGGGTCTCAGAAGGGGGGAAAAAGGAAACTCCACATATGACAGACTATTTCCTTCCTTGCCTAGAATCCATTTAGGACACAGTTGGGCATGTAGGATGGAGCCTGGATGTGAACAAACTAAGATACAGAAAATGGGGTTAAACGCAAAACTGTTTGAGGGGAAGCAATTAAAGATGTCTGAGCTGACCTTAGAACTCAAGAGGAGTAAGAAAATTTGTTCTTTGAAAGGGTAACAACCAAGAGATTTCTGTATCTTGAAACATGGCAGTGGAGACTCATCTAAGGCCTCGAAATGGCAAGAGTCAGAAAGGAGCAGTTGGGACAGCAACAGAGAGATATGGGAAGAGGCACAAAGGCCTATGGAAAGAAGCTGCCAAGGATAAACCCAAATTTTGAGGACCTCACCAGAGAAAGATGATTTAGCCAAAGCCCCAATCCCATAGGCATTGGAGTTGCGTTTCAGTTTGGGGAGGATGGAGGTCGTATCTTCCATGGAGAGCTGAAAAGAGAGACAATATGTAGAAATTATATACAGGAAGGAGAAAAAGAAGTGAACTGAAGTGAGAAATCAGTGTAAGGATGCCAGAAAGTAGGGGGAAGATGAGGAGCAGAAGCAAGCAACAAGAAAAAGAACAAAAGAGGGAAGCAAAAATTAGAGGCTATTTAACCAGGACTGTATATTGCATAGCGCTGGGACTGAGTGAGGAAAGGACAGAGGGAGAGGCAGAAGCAGGCTGAGAGAAGCCCCCCTCAGTTGTTGCCAGTCCTCCATGGACACACCGCACTGTTCCCAACTCTTTGTTAGAGATGGCTGATGGACAATTCAGGGAGCTTACAGTGGGGAGCTGACAAAGTGGTAGGCAAGACCTAGTAACACATCACATATGCATCATGCTACTGATATTAGTTTTATATGTTACTTTTTGTTTTTATTTCTTCTCGTACGGTCTTAATAAAATGAACATGACCATATAAGTGATTCATCCTGTTTCAAGCACCTACAACTACCTGTAAAGAAATGAGGTCTACATTCTGTTTAACACCCTTTACTCTCTTCTCTATGTTGGTCCTCAGTCCCTAAATAACAAGAAACCATTGGGATAGGCAGCAGTCACAAACATCAAACATCAAACACAGCACCTCAAGATGAATTCATCAGGCTTCTTCAGAGATGTCAGGCATTGCATATAAGGGATAATTTTCACAAGGGCTAAACAAGCATTGCTTCTGATCTTCATTTCAACCTCTTTGGAAATCAAGTCCAGAATGTTTCAAACACAAAGATACTCAAAAGTAGTGGCCATGATACTGGCAATTTTAAATTCTGACATGAAGCAAGCATTTGGTCATAGGCACAAACCTCACAAAAGGTGAGTGGAGCAATAACTGGGCAGTCAAATAGTTGGAGGCAAAGGTAGGCATTGTAAAGATGTTGAACTGCATGTAGTTCCAGTCAATGGCCAAAATGGGAGAGGTGAGTTTCTCTGGAAAGTGAGTGTAAATGAAGCAGCTAAAGCAACCTGTAACTTTGGAACCAGGAATATCTGTGTGTAACATGTGAGCTGAAGAAATCAGAAAGCAGGGAAAAACAGTAAAAATGAGAATGCAGCCCTTATTCTATGAGGGATTTCCTTTGGTGATGAAACCAGGTGAAGAATGTCCCATCTATGCCCTCACCAGTCATTTCTGCCTGGGTGCTGCTGTTCAGTATCCACCCATTTGCTGCTGTGCTGTGAGCAACCACATGCAAACAGTCCAGAAAAGAAAGTATCTGCAGGTCTCTACTGCTATGAGGTTGGAAAGCTATGACGGGACGGGACGGGACGGGACGGGACGGGAAGGGAAGGGAAGGGAAGGGAAGGGAAGGGAAGGGAAGGGAAGGGAAGGGAAGGGAAGGGAAGGGAAGGGAAGGGAAGGGAAGGGAAGGGAAGGGAAGGGAAGGGAAGGGAAGGGAAGGGAAGGGAAGGGAAGGGAAGGGAAGGGAAGGGAAGGGAAGGGAAGGGAAGGGAAGGGAAGGGAAGGGAAGGGAAGGGAAGGGAAGGGAAGGGAAGGGAAGGGAAGGGAAGGGAAGGGAAGGGAAGGGAAGGGAAGGGAAGGGAAGGGAAGGGAAGGGAAGGGAAGGGAAGGGAAGGGAAGGGAAGGGAAGGGAAGGGAAGGGAAGGGAAGGGAAGGGAAGGGAAGGGAAGGGAAGGGAAGGGAAGGGAAGGGAAGGGAAGGGAAGGGAAGGGAAGGGAAGGGAAGGGAAGGGAAGGGAAGGGAAGGGAAGGGAAGGGAAGGGAAGGGAAGGGAAGGGAAGGGAAGGGAAGGGAAGGGAAGGGAAGGGAAGGGAAGGGAAGGGAAGGGAAGGGAAGGGAAGGGAAGGGAAGGGAAGGGAAGGGAAGGGAAGGGAAGGGAAGGGAAGGGAAGGGAAGGGAAGGGAAGGGAAGGGAAGGGAAGGGAAGGGAAGGGAAGGGAAGGGAAAAGCTATGACGGGACGGGACGGGACGGGACGGGACGGGAAGGGAAGGGAAGGGAAGGGAAGGGAAGGGAATTTAGGAGCCAGATTTGATAACAAAGAAAATCTATGAAATTACACCAAGAAAGAGAAAGAGTTGCATTATGAAAGAGCTCCATTTATTCAGAATGGGTTGGAAAATGGGAAGCTGCAAGTAAAGAAACTGTCTTCTACTATCTTTAAGGAAACATGACTTTGCATACCTTGCTTTCAGCTAGACAGAGGTGCAGTGAGGAAAAAACTGACAAATTTGTTCTCAACAGTTGCTGCATGCAGCATTATTTTCCTGCACAATTTGTTTCTCTAACTGACCCTAGGCAACAGATCCCAAGCCACAAGTGCCACAATGAAAGAGATGTCAGTAGGGTGAGGGTTAGTTAAAAATACATTCCATTGATACTCAGTGTCCCAAATGCTTTCAAACGATAGAGAACGAGAAAATGACAGTTCAAAATTTTTGAAAGTATGTGGAATTTGAAAATGATTATACTACCAAAACCGAGGCTTCCAATCCTGCCTTTCAAAGTGTACAAAACTATCAAGCTAACTTATGTGAACAGATTTTTTAAACCTTCCGAGCAGAAAAAATAGTTTGGTAGCACTAATATGCATTATTCCCTTTTCAGGATGCTGGTTTTGCATCATTAAAAAAGAAAAAATAAACTCCTATTTTTTCATGGTATACGTATTAAGAGCAACAAGGAACATGTGTTATTAAAACGTTTGATTGTTTCTTCTTCTGCTTGTTAACTGAAGTTAACTGGTACTGACCATCTCCCCCAGGGGACATTAAGAATTCTTTTACTTCGGTATGCAGCTGAAAATGAAGGATACATACCTCTCAAACTCCTGGAGAAGATCAAATGATGCCCTAATCCAAGACTACTGATTTTTTAAACTTGCTGGACAAACCCCTATTTTATCTAGCAATGTCCAGAAATCTCAAAAATAGAATATATGAAATGACACACACTTGTCCCGAAGAGGACAAAGACAATTTAATAGCCACCTGCAGAACTAAATACCTGCCAGAGCAAAAGACTCAGAGGCAAACAAAAATTCATCACTATTCTCTGAATCATAGATAATTTCCAGAAATTCAGTGACACTAAAGAGTTTCAGTCATGTTTCCATTCCGGTCTCCACAGTATCCAATGGCAGACAAATCATGGTCTTCCTATGACTAGAAATCTGAACAGTAGTGTGGTGCATACTCACATTGATACCATCCCAGGAGAAATCTGTTCGTGTTTGCTAAAGAAAGCAAAGGACATCATATTAGCGTAACAAACAAGTTGTAAACAGCCACGCAGCTATCTAGTAGTTTGCCTTAATCAACAGCCACTACTTTATCTCATATATTAAAAGGAGTTGTGTCTTTTAAGATGGTTGCTGTTGATTATGGTGCCTGTAGGTATCACAGTGTTTGAAGATACAATAGCGAAGAGTATCATACAGAGAGTAAGAGAGAGAAAATCAACACCCTTTTCGTGAGGCTCCCCTTCTAACAGCTCTTTACTAAATGTTGCGATGTTGGCACCCCTGCGTGGGAGTTGCACCACTTTGAGGCTAACACAAGGAGGAGCTACACTACCTAGCTATTTTGAATATAATACATCAAGTTACAGAATTATTTTCTGCTGAAATTATTTTCTCTTGTAGTATATCTTTGTCCACTCTGACCCACTTTCCCCTTTCAAACTAGATCCATTTCCCATCTCAACCATTACAGTTCTAATTCACAGTGCATTTCCTTCAGCTGGAAGGAGTCACATGTCAACATCTTGGTTTGGGCATGTGGACACTCAGGAAAATTTAGATTAATCAATTACACCCATGGTATCTAGTCACATCAATAAAAATGTCCACTGAGGTATAGTTTATGCTCAGTGACTTTTAGATCTGTCTTTGATTTAACCGAATTTTCCATACAAGGTTGGGCCCCAAAATTTCCACCAGAGTTCCATGAAACTCCATGTTTTTTGAAGTTACATTCCAAGCCAGCAAGGTATAACAAGGAAATAAAAATAGCTATACATTAGCCCTTTGTATGGTTTTGCAAATTGTACGTTATTTTTCAATGTTATTTGTGATTTATTTCTGATTCCTCACTGTGATGGTTTAAGCCCTGCCGGGACCAGAGACCACGTTGCCGTTGCCCCTTCCCCACCAAGAGAAAGGCAGCAGAAGGTACACACCACGAGGCACCCTGTTGTTTTTCCTCCATGACCATGGAGAAAACATGAGGAGGTGGGATGGACAGCCCACTGCTGCCCTAGCTGCACCAGTAGAGCAGCTGAAAGGGAAGAAAATCACGAAAGGGGAGTCCTCCAAGAGGAGCGCAGCTCCGGTGTCAAGTCAGAAATCTCCCAGGCAGAATAGAATGGTGAACGTTATGTCTGACCCTCTTGAGGGGACCAGTAAGTCATTCTAGCAAGAAGTGAGTGATGATGAGCAGGATTAGAGGGGCCCTGCCTCCAGCCAGGTGGAGGAAAGGGACAATCGGATTTACTGGACAGTGTGGATCCGATGGCCTGGCACGTCAGACCCACAAGAGTATAAGGCTTTGGTGGACACTGGCGCACAGTGCACCCTGATGCCATCGAGCTACAGTGGGGTTGAATCCATCTGCATCTCCGGAGTGACAGGGGGATCCCAACAGCTGTCCCTACTGGAAGCTTAAGTGAGCCTGACTGGGAAGGACTGGCATAAGCACCCCGTTGTGACTCGCCCAGGTGCCCCGTGCATCCTGGGCATAGACTATCTCAGGAGAGGGAACTTCAAAGACCCAAAAGTGTACCGGTGGGCTTTTGGTGTAGCTGCCCTGGAGGAAGTTGAACAGTTGTCCACCTTACCCGGCCTCTCAGAGGATCCCTTAGTGGTGGGGCGGCTTAAGGTTGAGGAGCAGCGAGTGCCGATTGCTACCGGGATGGTGCAGCGGCGGCAGTGCCGCACCAACCGAGATTCCCTGGTCCCCATCCATCAGCTGATCCGTTAACTAGAAAGCCAGAAGGTGATCAGCAAAACTCACTCCCCCTTCAACAGCCCTATATGGCCAGTGAGAAAGCCTAATGGCAAATGGAGGCTAACTGTGGACTACCGTGGCCTGAATGAAGTTACGCCAGCAATGAGTGCTGCAGTGCCAGACATGCTAGAGCTCCAGTATGAACTGGAGTCGAAGGCAGCCAAGTGGTACGTCACGACTGACATTGCTAACGCGTTCTTCTCCATTCTGATAGCGCCAGAATGCAGGCCACAGTTTGCGTTCACTTGGAGAGGCATCCAGTACACCTGGAATCGATTGCCCCAGAGGTGGAACCACAGCTCCACCATTTGCCATGGACTGGTCCATACTGCACTGGAGAAAGGTGGGGCTCCAGAACACCTGCAGTACATTGATGACATCATTGTATGGGGGGACACAGCCGAGGAAGTCTTTGAGAAAGGGAAGAAAATCATTTAAATCCTCCTGAAGGCCGGCTTTGCCATTAAGCAAAAGAAAGTTAAGAGGCCTGCAAAGGAAATTCAATTCCTAGGGATAAAATGGCAAGATGGGCGTCGCCACATCCCAGTGGAGGTGATAAACAAGATAACAGCCATGGCCCCACCAACCTCTAAAAAGGAGACTCAGTCTTTCCTGGGCGCTGTGGGGTTCTGGAGGATGCACATCCCGAATTACAGCCTGATTGTGAGCCCTCTCTACCATGTAACCCACGAGAAGAACGATTTTGAATGGGGCCCTGAGCAACAACAATCCTTTGAACAAATTAAGCGGGAGATTGCCCAAGCAGTAGCCCTCAGGCCAGTCTGGGAAGGGCAGGAGGTTAAGAACATGCTCTACACCACAGCCGAGGAGAATGGCCCTACCTGGAGCCTCTGGCAGAGAGCACCTGGGGAGACCCGAGGCCGACCTCTAGGCTTTTGGAGCCGGGGATACAAAGGCTCTGAAGCTAATTACACACCAACTGAGAAGGAGATACTGGCAGCGTACGAAGGAGTTCGGGCTGCCTCAGAAGTGGTCGGCACTGAAACACAGCTCCTCCTGGCACCCCAACTGCCGGTGCTGGGGTGGATGTTCAAGGAAAAGCCTCCTCCACATATCATGCAACCGATGCCACGTGGAGTAAATGGGTTGCGTTGATAACACAACGGGCTCGAATAGGGAACCCCAGCCGCCCAGGGATACTAGAGGTGATTACGGACTGGCCAGAGAGCAAAGATTCGGGGATGTCACCAGAACAGGTGGTGACACGTGCTAAGGAGGCCCCACCATATAACGAGCTGCCGGATGAGGAGAAGCGATATGCCCTGTTCACTGATGGGTCTTGTCGCATTGTGGGAAAACATCAACAATGGAAGGCTGCTGTGTGGAGTCCCACACAACGGGTCACTGAAGCTACTGAGGGACAAGGTGAATCAAGCCAGTTCACAGAGGTGAAAGCCATCCAGCTTGCTTTGGATATTGCTGAGCGGGAAAAGTGGCCGAGGCTCTACCTCTACACTGACTCATGGGCAGTAGCGAATACCCTGTGGAAATGGCTGCAGCAACGGAAGCAGAACAACTGGCAACATAAGGGTAAAACCGTCTGGGCTGCTGAAGTATGGCAGGACATTGCAGCCCGTGTGGAAAACCTCGTTGTGAAGGTGCGCCATGTGGATGCCCATGTACCCAAGAGTCGGGCCACTGATGAACATCGACACAACCAGCAGGCAGGCCAAGCTGCTCAGATTAGAGTGGCTCAGGTGGACTTGGACTGGCAGCGCAAAGGTGAACTGTTCATAGCCCGGTGGGCCCATGAGACCTCGGGCCACCAAGGTAGGGATGCAACATACAGGTGGGCTCGAGATCGAGGGGTGGATCTCACCATTGACACCATGGCAGAGATCATCCACGGATGTGAGACGTGTGCTGCAATCAAACATGCCAAGCGGGTGAAGCCCCAGTGAAATGGAGAGCGATGGCTGAAATATAGATATGGAGAGGCCTGGCCGATCGACTCCATCACACTGCCACAGACCCGCCACAGGAAGCGCCACGTGCTCACAGTGGTGGAAGTAACCACTGGATAGCTGGAAGCTTACCCAGCGCCCCACGCCACCGCCCGGAACACCATCCTGGGCCTTGAAACCCAAGTCCTGTGGCGACATGGCACCCCAGAGAGAATGGAGTCAGACAATGGGACCCACTTCCGAAACAACCTCATAGATGCCTGGGCAGAAGAGCACGGCATCGAGTGGGTCTACCATATCCCCTACCATGCACCAGCCTCTGGGAAGTTGGAGCGCTACAATGGACTGTTAAAAACCACATTGAAAGCACTGGGAGGTGGCACCTTCAAAGACTGGGACATGCATCTAGCAAAGGCTACCTGGCTAGTCAACACAAGAGGATCTGCCAGTCGAGCTGGCCCGGCTCAGTCGAGACCTCCACGTGCTGTAGATGGGGATAAAGTCCCTGTGGTGCGCATGAGGAATATATTGGGAAAAATGGTCTGGTTTAGTCCTGCACCAGACTAAGGTAAAGGCAAACCCATCCACGGGATTGCTTTTGCCCAAGGACCTGGGTGTACCTGATGTGTGATGCAGGACAATGGAGAGGTCCGATGCGTACCACAGGGGGACTTGATTCTGGGTGAGAACATTCCGTGAATTATGCTGTGCCTTTGTAAATTGTTATTTTGTTATTGCTAACTACTAAATGGCAGCTGGACATGACGCAGATGGTATAGAATAAAGGGGTGGATTATGTCCTGGTTCAGCTGGGATAGGGTTAGATTTCCCCAGCACATAGAGAGGGGGAAGGGATCTCCAGCCGGTTTATTCATACCATGCTGTCATCAGGTCCGTGCGCGGGAACTTTTTCTTGGTGGCTTTGGTGGTGGGGAGCTCACGGCAGGCTTGTTCCATAACCATTTGCGGTATTTCTCTGTATATCTTTTGTCTTGTTTACTGTTATTGCTGTTTATTGTTGTTATCGATACTGCTGTTGTTCAGATTGTTTATTACACTGTTGTATTAAATTTCTTCTTATTTTAAACCAATTTGTGCCCCACATTGGTGCACCAAAAAAAGGCTGTGATGGTTTAGGCCCTGCCGGGACCGGAGACCACATTGCCATTGCCCCTCCCCCACCCTCAGCTGGTCAGGCTGGAAGTGAGGCACAAACCCCAGGTTAAAATAAGAAGAAATTTAATACAAAAGTGTAATAAGCGATCTGAACAACAGTAGCAATGATAACAACAATAAACAGCAATAACCGTGAACAAGACAAAAGATATACCGAGAAATACCGCAAATGGTTACAGAACAAGCCTGCCATGAGCTCCCCACCACCAAAGCCACCAAGGAAAAGTTCCCGCAACCCGGCTGGAGATCCCTTCCCCCTCTCTCTCTGCTGGGGAAACTTAACCCTATCCTAGCTAAACCAGGACACTCACATATTATCTGTTTAATGTAGCTTTGATCTTTTTATTAATCATGACTGCATACACTGAACCTTATAGAGCTGAAAATTCAGGTACCTAAGATTGAAGAAGCTACAATTCAGAGCAGCAAATTAATCAGCCATTGAGATACTGCATGGTGAATCAACCGGCAGTGAGTTACTAGTGAATGCATTCCTAAAAATCAAAATGGAGACAAACGTGTTTCTTCAAAAGATTTTATGGCTGTGCTGCAGAATCTGGGACAGACATAGTGCTGGACATTTCAGTGAATCCATTATTCAAGGAATGCAGACTTACAGGCTTGTCAGAACTGCCACAATTTTTTCCATGTTCTGTTCCACTCATGAGTGGTTAAAAGCACTTTCATTTGCAAATTCTAACTCACTATGGGTATCATGAAGAGAGTGACTCAACTCTACTCAATGCAAGCCAAACTGCAGATATGAAAGTCTGATCCTCAAGTGCACACTGGTATTCTGGTCCTCTGCCAGATGACACCTGAGTGATGCACAACACCCATTTCTGAACTCAGAACTGAAAATTTTTGATCCCTCTGGGTAAGTGGGTCTGGGACAGGCACTCACCTCAGTGGAAGGTCGATGGAAGCTGCTGCCATGCAGTGAACTGGTGCTGTCCATATTGATTTGGTCCACATCTTTCAGTCCTTTCCAGTCTACTGCAATCACTTCATTTCCTGTGGGAACACATCTAGTCAGGCTTCTGAATGCCACTACAATTTGTTCTAGCAGTCTTAAGCTAACACAGCTCAGCATACACAACAGTCTTAAATCAGACCGCCCCAATTTTTGTCAGACCACCTGTACATCACCAACTATTATATTTCACCGTTATCTCTGTAAGACCAGTCATTTGGGTTTTTCTCAAGTATAATGTATGCTTGGCTAAAGCACAACTCCACAGGAAAAAAGCATCCAGTCATGATGTGTGATTGAGAAAGAACCAATTCTTTAAATATTCTGTTCCAATATTAAACCATCATCACTTAAAAAGGCATTTATCCTTTATAATTTGAATTGGTCTGACATCAACTTAGAGCTGCTGGTGCCCTTGCTCTGCCATTCACAGAAAGATGAAAGACCTTTCTAATACCTGCATTACATTTCAGGAAAGTTATTCATACACTTGCTTTTCTTCTTGAAAAACTAAACAGACTGAGATCTTTAGTCTTCTTACTGTAGATCATTCTTCCAGTCCCTCTAATAAATCTGTGTCTCTTTTTAAAAGACATCTCAAATTTTTCAGTTCTTCGAAATGTGGACTCAACAGTATGCACAGTAATGTAAATGAAACTAAAAATAGCTACCTACTGCCCCTCTTCACATTAATCCATTGTGCCATAACCTCACAGTTCTCACATTTAGGTGTTTGTTCACTCAGATCCCTATGCAATTCGCACAGCTTTCTAGAATTGTCACCCATTCAAAAGCAGGGTCTGTGTAATTTGATTTTAGATGCAATTTAATACAACTTAAAGGATTGTGTAAAAATAAATATTAACATAAAACAAATTATAAAATTTAATTAATAAGATTAAAATTAGTATTATTAAATAAGATCAAATTGCTATAAAAGTGAGACTAAACACAAAGTAGCACACTTTATATAGCCAAGTAACCAGGACTGCTCTGCCCAGTGACTAATTCACTCTGCCTTCAGCCTTTGTGCCATCTTCAAACTCTGTTAAAAGTTATTTGCTCCCATGTCATGGAGGAAAGGTTGTGCTGTGTTTAAACCTGAGCCTTTTGGAACCTGGTAAGAAATACAGCTCCCAAAATGATCATTTATTCCTGGGATCAATTCAGCAATATCTAGTCTATTTGGAGTACATATCACGGCATGTGAATGGTTCCATTTTCATTAGCTTTTAGCTTTTTATTTACTCTTCACAGCAAATTTCTTCTCCACAGACATATGCAAACCCCCTTGCTCATTCTAGCAGCTCTGGCGTGTTTACACTGGCTCATAACTGCACTTCCCAGATAGTAATCTTCTGACAGGTGAGAGATGCTGTGCTCACCCTACACAGGCCTGCAAGGAGGCATGTAGTCACTCATGGGTGGGAAACCTGAGGTACTCATCAGCTAGAATCCAAAATGAAAAAAAAAAATAAATTGGTCCCTTAAAAAGGCTAAACCTGGAGAGATTAAAATCAGCAGAAAGCAAATGCTATTTGAGTTGGGGTCCACCACACCTCCACATCTCATCATTTTCTGCTGTGCAAGAAGATCACCCTTTCTGAAAGAATCAAGGCATATTTTGCCCTTCACACCTGAGGTTATGTTTCAGTTCATGAGAATAATTAAAACCAAGTGCTTTAATAACATCCCCCATATGTTTCTGACTAGGCTGAATGAAGCTGATGAAAAAGAAAAAGGACATTCCTGTACTTCATGCTGCAAAGGTGAACACAGAGGTCAGGCACAGCCAGACTTCAGGAGGAGGCACAATATGGCTATGATGAGCACAACAAAGACCACCTTTCAAGGTTGTAATCCTCTTGACTGATTTTCTTGACAAGCACATGCATGCATTTGGCCTTACTGAGCTCAGTTATTTAAAATTGTGATTGCTATTAACCACGATCAATTCATGAGCTATGAATGGTATGGCTGAATTTATGTTAAATTCTGATCAGATCCCTTGGCTCTCATCTGCAGGCACCCCACTTTGCATGGCATAATGTTAGATTGTGTGACAAAAGTTCACCTGCATGCCCACAGAGAAGCACAAGAAGACGAGGGCAGGAGGGGGATCCCAGCCAGCACGCGGCCAGGCTGCTCCCAGGCCCACCCCAGGAGCCATCAGCCCAACAAAGGCCCATCTCCACACACCCAGACAAGCCCAGGGGCACGATGGCAGGTGGGAACCCAAATTATGGACTCACAAGAAGGGGAACCCTGACCAGGTGCCTCCCAGGGCTGCTCCAAGGACAACGTCAGCCCCAGGGTCCAGGGGAAAGCCCATCAAGATCAGTCAAGGGGAAAGGCTTTCAGAAGCAGTTTCATAATTGGGGGGGCAGTGACTGCCCAGGGGTATGGGACCCATGATGAGATGCAGGAGGAGAGCATTTGGGGACTGCACAAGATTTATGTGATACGTAGGGGAAGAACCAACAGCAGGGAAAGGGGG